TGGCCGTGGAAGGGAAGCCCAGGGCTGCCGGCGCTCCAGTGTGCGCCCCCTGTGCCCTGTACAACCTGTCACGCAGCTGCACGACAGCTGCCTGGGAGGAAGAAAGAGGTCAGTACAGGGAAGAGGCAACCACCCCACAACACACACTGACAAGAGGTCTTGCATATACTCCCACCTTTACAGAGAAACACCTTAATGACAAGCTGGTCTGCATCTAATATTTCACATACAGCTGCGTCTCCACAAATCTTGTTAAATATTATTTAAAACCCCAAGTCAAATAAATAAGGAACATTTTATGGAAAGAGGTTCTTTTGATCACTTCCCACAGCAAGAGCCCGAAACACAGGCCATAGCTCTCCTGCTCCAGTGTCTCAGCTATGCTCAGACATGATGGAAGGCCCACACTTATTTCACCGGATATTAACTCATCACAGTTGACTTCCTCTTTAAACTTTTTTTTATTTTCCAAACCCCCCTACACACTATTGTTATTAAAAATTAAATTGAATCTATTTTATCATTCAAAGAGTTCAGCATACATGTGCCTACCCTTGAGGTCAGTGTGACTGCAAATATATGAACAACCCAGCTACTGACTTGTTGGCTACCACCCCAATTCCATCATTACAGAAAACACAAGTTAACTTCCCAGCCCTTCGGTTAGGCAGTTCTGGTTACTTTTTACTCACTTACAGTGCAACAAATACCACCCCGCACACAGATCTCGGGTACCTGGTCAGTGCTGCTGGGCAGGTAAGCAATTGCGGTGGCCAGGCTGCCCTGGGCGGCCAGCAGACTAGCGTACTGGCTCATCTTCTCAGCCAGCAGAGCGCCCACCGGCGTCGAGCTCGCACTGCGCGTCGCCTCCACCGCCCGCTGTAGCACCACTACCTTCTCCACCAAGTCCTGCAGGGGGCGACAGGGGGACAGGGGGTAACAGCAGTGCCCCTACCCACTGCCTGGCTCCCTGCCACTGACACCTAACAAGCAGCAGGTGGCACCGCAGAAGCTTTGTGCTCATCCCAAACTGCAGTTGCTGCACCACGTTGTGGGTCTCAAACACAAAATGCAGAATCTCACAAATTATCTTCCAAAACATATTTTCATGATGACACCATTTATGATACCACTTAAAATGTAATGATGCCAAATCATTCAAGTTGAGAATCTGATCGGTATTTAATTTGGTCTTGCAGAAACCACAGCCAAGGTATCTGTAATCAGACTATAATATTTTAAAGATATCTCAAACTCAGTTTAGCACTACCCATCCATTATCTGAAGACCAGTCTTTCCTGGTAATGGTCACGGCCACCTGGAGCTTTTTCTGGAAGTACAAGGTGCAAGATGGGACTACATTTTGTTTGCTGTTGCTAGACATGCGCACAGACATGAGCAAATTAAAAACTCAAACTAACCCAGGAAGAACGTCTCTGGGCTGAGCAAACCCAGCCTGCACGATTTTGTGAGGGCGAGAGGAAACCACAGCACCCAGAGAACACCACATGTGGGCGCAGGGAGAGCGTGTAAAGTCTACATACAAGACACTCCTGACCCAAGGGCTGTGTGGCATCAGCCCTGACGACCAAGCTACCATATCACCCTTTTAATACTAATTATTAAGCATTAGCAATAATTTATCTGCCAGCAAGAACTGAGAGTAAAGGAAAACCTGCCGGGTTTAGCTACAAGAAGGGCACTTCAGATCAGATTCCTATCAAATTCAGACAATTCATGCAGTCAGAAAAGACAAGCCTCAGATGTACAGTGTAGCATCTGATTCTTGGATCATCTTCTGGACAACCTGGCTCAAGGCAATTTAATTGTGAGGGTTTTCACTATTTCACTTTGCAGTATAGTAGAGACAATGCCAACCAATGCTTTTTGCCAAGCTTTTGTTGAGGAATTTGAATAAATACCCCTAGCAGACTGCACAAGAGGGTTTAGTACTTTCCCTACAAACCTGCAAGGAGAGAGGGCTGTTTCCATCTTGTGCTTTGGTCCAGCAGGCAACCAGTTTTTCAACGTTACCAGCGCAGATGTAGCAGAGGCAGGCTTGTGCCTGGAGCTCCAGGTCCCCATCGCCTTCCAGTCGAGTCCCAAGAAGATCTAGAAAACAGACACAGTAAGATACAACTAGATTCCGGTTATGCAGTAAGAAATGGTGAGAGGTTTCCCTTGTCATTAAATCATATTCAGCATAACCCAAGATGATGAAAGTAAACGTGCAGAATCAGAAGTCACTTTACAGACCATATTATTGCACGTTTTATTTTTGACATTTTTATTGTCTGTCATATTAAACAAAGATATTAAACCATTTAAAGATTTCCATAGCTCGTGCTGCAATTATCTAGATTTTTCAGTGATGGGGGAATTTTTTCACTTTGCTGCCTTCTGTACAAAGGTTTAAAATAATGAATGACATAACGTTAGCGTTACTATGAATAGTTTCTTGTGTTATCAGGACCTCACGTGCCATAAATCATAAGGAAGATTGACTTAACACTAAAAGCCCCGTACAGCACCAGCAAACCCTACCGGGCCAAATTTCAACAAGGCTGGTTTGGACCACATTGCAGGAAGCCCATTTCTGGGAAATACACTTGCAGCCAATTCAGTGGCACAGGACAGGAAGGAATGTCTAAATTCAAGACGGCGAGAGAAGTGCTCCTCACCACACAGGGAGGCAAACTCTTCAGGGCCGGCATACGTCAGCACAGCTGCCAGCGCCTCTCTCCAGTTCTGAAGATCACATGCCTCAACAATCTCCTTCCAGTCCTTCATCACCACTGCGGTGATCAGCTAAATTGGGGGAGGGGGAGAAAAAGCCTTATGGAACTTTTATAAATACTAAAAACAAAAAAATAAAATCATGTTGTAAAACGTCAAATAGTTTACTTTTAAAGACGCCATAGTCGAATTCGAAGTATGAGTGAATTATAAGGACTGCTAATTGTTGTTGTGAAAAACAATGTGCTTGTAAATGACTCCTAGTAGACTGTGAAGAACATGGCTGAACAATTAAAAAAAATGAAGAAGCCTTTTGGCTCACTGCTGCTCTTCTCACCCTGGTTATCTTGCTCTGGGTTTTGTCAAAGTACTTCTTCTGCGTCTTTGCCAGAAGCTCCTGCCCTCCGGCGATGGCCAGGATAATGGCGTCGGCCATGCGATTGTCATGGAGACAGAGGTCGACAGCCCCCTCGAAGTCTCCGGTGAGCAGGGCCTGGGTAATGAGCCCATCCAGGTCTGCAACAGAAACAAAACATTGGCTAAACAAAAAAAGCTTTTGGCAAGGTCTAAGCCACAACTACACCAAACTACTTCAATCTTTACACACACCTAAGCTTGAAAAATATTCCAGGTTCCTAGGTACTTCAGAATTTAATGTGGTTTCTGAAACAGTTTTAATACATATGGGCTTGGAGTCAAACTACACGGATAATGATGCTTGTTTAGGCACACAAATCGATGGATAAGCACCAGTGAACTTGTGGAACTGAATAAAGGCTGACAATCAGCCTTTTAACATTGATCTCCCTGTAAAGTGCAGCCCAAAAACCAAAATACAAGAACTGTGGGTTAAAATTAGTGTTGTGCAAAAGTGTGAAGTCAATTAACAAAGCAATGCACTTTGAAATCTGCACGTGAATTTGCTGACCACATCTCATCTATGAAATCAAGCAAAACAAAAGAACAGAATAAACAGCAGGAAAAACAAAACAGAGATGTGTAAAAACAAAAAGGAACTGCAGATTTAAGAAAAGAGGTTTAGGGATACTACTTTTTTTTTTATTAAAGCTTTGGATGGAAGAATACTTCAGATTTCATTTCACACCAGCATCCAGATACTTTTTTGAAGTGCTGTTTTAGAGATAGTGTTGGACTGTATGCTATTATTTAGAGTAAAGAAAAACAGCTGAGTCAGACTAGAAGTGAAAAAATTGGATAAATACACAGTCCTAATTTATACCTTTTCATTTTACATAACTGTTTAATCGGTATATAGGTTATTGTATACAGATAAAAAGACCCTCTGGAAAAAGCTCAATTTCTGATTTGCAGAAAAAAAGAGCAAATTTATTAACAACTTTTAGTATTTTCTATAAAGGTGGGTAGAGATATTATTCAGACCTGTCTTTGGGAATGACTGGTGTGCAATAAATGATAAACCCCAGTGGGGCAGCAACTTGCCTTCGCTGACTGAGAGGTTAAATATCTCTTTAGCAGCAGTGGGTCTCTCTTTAAGGACGTCACTTTCTCCATCTTCTTCCTTTCTCTGGGTGACGCAGTAAGGATAGCAAAGAAAGTCATGTGCTTAAAAATCATTTATCATCTGCGTTAGAAAAAAAAATTGGCCTGATGAAAGTGTCAAAAGTTTCACCTGTGGTCCCTAGTAGCACAATATTTGATGACCATTGCACAGGATGACTAAATGATAATGTGATCATGAGCTTCAGACTTTACCGCAGCACAGAAGTATTGTAGCATTTTTTGTGACAATGTCAGTTTTTAAAAAAGCAAAATGATCTCCACATGAAATTTACAAAAAAAATCTCTCCTAGGAACTAGTAGTATACTACTTTTATCTCAACCTTTACTGGGAAGTAATGTTTGGAATCTATTTTATTTGAAATATACATCTGCCTGCTACTCAGTCAGAAAATGGAGTCTCACATTGAAATATGGGACCAACCCCATTCCCTGAAGAAAAAAAACATAAGGCATGTTTGCTTTGTTCCAGGACACACATGGCAAAAGAATAAGAAAAGCTTAAAACAAATTTCTCAAAAACTGGAGACAGATGTATGAACTCACAGCTCAAAGAATGATTTATGATTTCTAAGCATAGTACCTGTAGTATACTGTGTATGTATGCTTTAAAATTCCTCAGAATGTGTCTAAATATTTGCAAATCTTTATATCCAATTTTACTAATATGCAACATCACCCTCAACAGGCTTCAGATTAAGGAAACACACTCTGATCGGTATTGGGGTCCCTTGTTTGTCTCATTATTTGAAACACACACGTCTGACAAGCTGTAGCATAAAATTACTCCTTAAGGAAAATGAACAGGTCTATTTTGTTTATATGAAAGGGTGCCCTTCCCAAGCTTCAAGATGCTGTTTTTTATACCACCAATGCCTGCACACTGTAACAACACTTTTGTTCTCCTACAAAGTGTTGGTAAAGAAATTCTGGCAAGCAACTAGTTTTTGCAGTCAAGATATAGGAAACACTAAAGGGAATTGTATTTAAATATTTTATATTTAAAAAATATATAAAGTGTTCTCAAATTAATGGTTGAAAAAAAACAATTCACAAACTTCACTGCACACCCACTGTTACAAGGTGGATGTACATTTCAGACTGCACAAAACAAACCTCGTCCTTTTCTAAGTCCAAGTTTGCAAGTTCTTTAAAAGAATGGATGCATAAGGTCACCTGCCTGTACACTTCGTCACTGGCATGGACCACTTCTAGTGAAGATCTCATCCTACCCACAATGATCTTTATAGTTGCACTGAGTTGTGTGTTTTGACAACATGGAAAAGGCTCAGAGTCACACCAAGTATTAGGACTCTTACAAGAACTTTCACGCCTATCCCACTGTCGTACAGATGCTATTGCCTTTATTATTGGGTTTATAACTAGATTTTATGTCCATCAGTGGCATGTTGAATAGTGGAGCTTAGTACAATGGGCTTTCTCCTTTCAGTGAGGTGTGCAAGAGGTTAGCCTCTAACATTCCAAATTATAACCCAACATCAAAGCAGAGAGAAAAGAGAGGCGAGGAACAAGGACTGTGAAGAGCCCAGTCGGCCAGTGTGAATACCTCTTCCAAGGGGAGCTGCTCAGCTGCAGGAGAGTCGCCAGAAATGGAGTCTGTCGGCTCAGGCTACACACAGGAAGAGGGCCGGGACAGCCACGAGAAGAGAGATGTACAAATTCGTGCAGGATTCGTCATTGCAGGGAGGATTAAAATCATTGCAAGAGCCAAGATGAATGGAATTACACATTGGTTAGGACAAAAATCCATGATTCTCAAGTGCACCGTTTCAGCCAAGAAGTATTAACACATTTGGTAAGAAATCAATGCCTTTCACACAGGTAAGTTTCCAGAGTGAAGAAACACCACTAGAAGAAGGAAGAAAGTGAGATTGCACTGCTAAACCTAAATACCTACCTCCGAAGAACTGGTCTCTTCCTTCTGAAGCACTCCAGTAATCTACAAACAGAGGTCAGATGTGAATTGCACTCAAAGAATACAGTAATGTCACAGAACTGCTACTGGCCAGGTCAAAATGTTGAGTCAGCAGCTGCACTGCACTTTGTTGCACTCAGAATAACATGGCCAAAGACCTAAGAAATATCCTACCCGTACTTCGATTCTTTAAATGCAAGGAAATCACAGCACAAACTCAGACTAGTAGCCTAAACCATACATCACAATGATTCAATCAAGACCACGAAAGGCACTCACCTTCTGAGCCAAATCCTCTTTCTTGTATCCCAAAAGGTCCAAATATTTGCCACGGGGATTGCTCTCAAAGTTAGCCTGAAAACATAACAGCACAAATAAAAAAAAAAGCCTGTTTAGTTCTTGACTCGCTTGGTGAATGTTTCTGATTCAAAAGAAAACACACCAATGTGCCAATTAAAAAGTCATCAGACTATTCTAATGGTCCTCATACTTTTAGAACACACTTTTGCTTCAAGTGTTCTTATTCTAAATGTTGACATTTAGTGGCTGGAGCAGTGGCACAGTGGTTAGTATTATTGTTTCACAGCACTGAGTTTCAATGCCAGACCTGGGGTGTGTGTTTTGGATGTTCTCCCTGTGTTCTAATGGAGTTTCCTCCCACGGTCTAAAGACATACTAGTAGATTAACCAGCTTCTGTAAAAACTGGCTGTGTGTATGTACGTCTGGGTCTGTATGTGCCCAGCAATGGTCTGCCATATCCTGACTTGTATCCATTTGTTTGCTGGGTTAACCTCCAGCTTCCCCGTGACTGCTTATAGTGGTTTTGGATAAAGTGGTTAGAAAATGGATGATGGTTGATGTTTATAGAGTTAATTCTCTAAACTATGTACCTATCAAAGTACACTATCCTTTAGCTTTTAGACAAATTTGAGAAAGAACATCAATGTCTTTAATGCCTGAATAGTCTCTTGTGTGGCACTGGTTCTATACTGAATGTCAGGATTTAAGGTCCAAGAGATACAGAAAACTATACCACCATCAAATGCACATCTAAAGCAGTGCCACCTTTGAACCCGAGGAACTCAAATGTCTAGTAAATCAAATGCAATCCATACATGTTGTAAAACTGTGATTTCAACAGTTCGGTGCATTCTTTTCACTTCTTTTGCCCCATTAACCAACCTGAGAAACAGATTTTGAACCAAAGAAACTGCTGTCTTCTTATTTTCCCCAAGGAAAATATAATGCATGCTAAACAGCACAAGCATGAAACCATGTCAACTTCAAGGCTTTCAGAAAATTAAAACTATAACTGGAGAAACAAATACATGTGGATTTTCTTTGTCATCTAGATGCCTACAAGAATGTCATGATGGCCTTCAGCATAAACATCACCTAAATGTAAACTAAAAGCAACCTGAAAAAATCATTTTCTTTGAGAATCACTTTCCACATTAATCCTCACCTTTAAGAAAGACCACACATTCCTCTCAAATTCATTCTGGGAGGACTCCACTTTGGACTGACAGAAATCAACAAAGCTGCCTGCGGTCATGGCCGACTGCAGCTCATTAGAGCGCTTCAGGAACATGGTTTCCGTAACGACCTGGCTGACATAGACGCAGTGAGGTACCGGCGGCTGCTGCTGCTGCTGCTGCGCTGCGGCCTTGATGTTTTCAAACATCACAAGCTTGCCTCCAAACTGCAAATAGTGAAATGATGACAATGAGACAAAAAGAAAATAGTTACACTTTTAAAATGTTCTTTGGACATTTTTATATATGTGGTAAGGACTTGGGAGGCAGCCATTAACTATGTACAGGAATTGATTTTTCCATTAGAAAAGCAGGTTTCTGTACCCGTTTTTAAAAAGGAGGCTTTCAAAACACAAATGCTTTCAGATACAAAAAGCCACAAATAATTAAAAAATACTAACACCCGAGAAAGGTGATTTTAACCTTAAGTGTTGCCCAGGCGCTGGTTGAGATCTGTAACCCAAGCGCTGCAGGTTCTAGACGTGTCGACAGTTGACTGGCCAGGATTCCCCTGCCCGCCACCGAGAACGGGCGGAAAAATGTCAGACAGGGCGCAGCTTGCAGAACAGAGCTATGTTGCATGTAATGTGTTTAAAAGACAAGTGTCTTGAAGGTGGGCTGGTCAGAGGAGTCTGCCCTTGACCTGAATCACCCCCCGCACCGTGTGAGGTTGTGGGGTTTGTAGGCTGAGAGGTGATAACACATATAAATAAATCTCCAAAAGTGGGAGAGCAGCAGAAAAAAAAAGTAAAGTCAAAAAACCCCAATTAAGTAACACACCGCAAAAGAGGCCCCCACGGGCCTGCGGATCCACTTTGGTGGTTTCTTCAGTGGCATGACGGTGCTCTGCTGGGGTGTGTGCTGGGGCAGCTGGAGGGGGGGCAGAGCCTGGCCTGTTCCAAACGGGTCCAGATTCCCAAATGAAGAGCTGAGCTGCGTGCAGGAACAAGAACAGCTCGCGTTAACGAGGAGTCGTGCATTCCCACTGTATCTCATCGGAATCTGCGCTAACTTCACAACGGCGAAGCCTTTTCCAAAACAGGCTGGTCTAAATAGATATTTAAAGCAAATATATAGTTTTAATAATAATTTTGAATAGTTTCATAAAACTTCCTATTTTAGCTTTGCTCTACAAAAACTATCCTTGATGCAGAAAACTTTTCTGATTATTTTCTTGTTTGCCTGTAAACAAATGCAATGTATTTTACCCATGCACTTCTTGGTGAAAATTGTTAAGAAGTGGCTTAATATATAATGTGTATCTGCATGTGATCAAACACTAACTCAGCCAATAAAGAACTGATTACACTACCCCTACTGCAATAATACTGTAACGATACAAAAATGAATGAGTTTTTCTATCCTGGCTTGAAGCAAACCAGGCATAGTGCCCTAAAGATAACCAATGACAAAGTTAAGGGGCTGTAATAAAAAATACTTCTCGCAAAAGCAGAACCATGAACGGGGTTCCGATAGCGTTGTCAGCCGGACAGGGACCATCAGCACCTGATCCGCTTGTTTCCGGCTCTGGCTCTCCACGTTGCCCCCCATGATCGAATAGACGCTGACGTGGCCGTCGAAGGCCGCGGCCGAGAGGACGGCGGGGTTCCTGGGGCACCACTGGATATCGAAGCACCACTGCGTGCTGGTGGGCAGCTCGTACAGCACCTGGAACACGGCGGCACGATCAACGATGGTGCGTCTGTGGCCCAGCTGCCCGGCGCGTCTGCGTCAGCCTGGCACCGAACCAGCATGAGTACAGCCACCCGCGGACACGCCAGCAAACACACCGCAGCAGTTAGGATAAAAGCAAGCCATCCCTTAAGCAAAGAACGTTATCTGTACTCTGTTTTTACAGCAACATAAACTGATAATGAGCAGCCAGGCAAAATGCTATTGTCAGTGTTGCATAAAAAAATATATTTGAGTTCATGAAGACATTTAATAATGTAATTAACCTGGAAAGGTACCAGTTCATTTTTTTTAAATATTAGGATTTACCCGGCAGAACACACTAAATGCGCAACAAAAACAGGATTTTCAGTATTAGTCAGAAAGACTTCAATAATCTGCTTTTGAAGAAAAAACAAGCTGTTGGCAGTTATCCCTCACAGACCTTTCAGGGAAAATATTGTTCATTTTCATGTTCACCATATAGGGTTTTAAAACATGTAAGATTGTCCTATGGATGTCAAGTACCAATTAACTACTGCCCTTCAGTCTGGAAAAGATCAAAGCTTAAAACTGGTCCCAGAATGGTCCACAGGAGCTGTTGCCTTTCCTGAGTTCTCTCTCTCTCTCTGCAGGTTTGAGGCTCTGGGAAGCAGCGAGTTGAGCAGTTCACCTCTGCTGTGTTGGGGTTCCAGCACAGAATCCTGTTGTCCTTCCCACAGCTTAGGAGCAGCTCCGGATCTGCAAGACTCCAGGCAATAGCCAGCACCCCTCTGCGCAACACATGACAAAGTCACAGAGTAACTCTTGGTATACACAGACTCCGCAGCTTTATCCAGGCACTGAAAACAGGTGGCCAAACAGTAGTGTCATATAAACACCAATAAGCTGCCAAACAATTTTTGTAGCCTTAATTTTAGTCTTATACAGTAGATGTTTGGGTTCTGCCTTTTATAATTCAAAGCTAGAACAAACAGCATAAGATGTGCCCAGATTTCAAAACATTTCAGTTAAGATTTGTAAGCAAATATGTCTGTCACAGTACAAAACTGTTAAAATTCAACTGTCTGTAACCGATTTTTTTAAGGGGGACTAATGGAACCACACACATTTCTACAGATTGGCCAGTTAGCATTCAAGATAAACAAGATGTCCTTTCATGGGTGAGCGTGTGCACAATATAATAGAAGGTTAGTGTGTCAACAATTATCCGTCAGTGTTCTTTTCTGCATTTTTAACTGAAGAAGGGGGCGACTGTACCTTGTATGGTTCTCCAGGACTTTCAGGGGAGATGTGGCAAACCTTAGGTCCCACATTTGAATGACAGGCATGCGGTCGTCCTCAGAGGCCAGGACCAGCTGAGTGGCCACCTCCGGGTTCCAGGCCAGCCCGGAACAGTGCATCTGTGTAGAGGCAGAGCGGCTCAGAGCACAGCCTGATGGCACAACACCACTGCAACGCTGCCACTAAAAATAAATGACCAGCAGCCCCTTTGGCTTTCTAGGCCCATTGTAAAACAGAGCAGCTGGAGCATCATCAGAATGAGCAGGCTCCTGAAAGGACATGGACACTGCTGTAATATATGGACGGTCAATTTCAACCCGTTTTGTCAGAACCAGTTAACTAATTTAATTGTTAACTAACCCAATTACATAATTAATGGGACTAGCTGTACATACAAAGAGCCAGAACTGAATTGGACTGAAAAGTCTAATATGCGACAGCTTCTGTGATGGTCTGCTTTTATAGTCTGAACTCGCATGAAGAGCTTCAAAGTTTGTTTATGCTCAGTTCAATCATCATCTAATTATTCCACCCCCATTCATTCTGTAAAGGGAAATTTTAAGCCTGCCTATATTTAGATCTTCCCAGTGTGATCAAATTCCTTTTCGTTTCAAAAACACAAATAACATCCTATGAGGCTTTACCCTTCTAAGAAGAGCTGAAAAGAAAAGAATGGTGGTACAGCGGAGAACTCAGATTGTTTGATTGTCCTATTACATGGCCTGGAAGATCAAATGATTTTATAATACGTGTAACCAAAATGCTTTGAATGCTCTGAATCTTGACCAGAGAGTAATCACATTCCTAGGACGTACACATTAAAGATTACGGTATGAGTCACCCCTGTACTGCCAGTGGGTCAGTTGAAAGAACAGTTTGAGAAATGTTTTTAGGCACCAGTTTTTTGCTGGAAACACAAATTGAGTCGAGAAGTAAACAGGCTTGTGTGGTTAACACATTTAAATAAATAAAAAGTTATAGCCATTATGATATTAGCTGGAAGTGATCAAATGTGGTTTCAATGCAACACTAAGTGATAATTACACACAAAAACAAAATGAGTGGAACCAAGGGTGCTACAAATATTAAACCTGGGAATAGTGTAACAAACATAAAACTTTTGCAGGGAGGCGAAATATAAAATATTCCATGACTTCACATCAAGCCAGAAATCTTCAAAATAAACTTCTAAATAAGAGCTGTGGTCAGACTTAAAATATTTGATTCAGGTAAAGGAGATCGTTTTGTCTTTCACATTTTCATGTAGCTATTCTCTTTAACAAGAAAATGGGTTACAGTTCTTTGACCATGAGCTGAGGATAATCAAGATACATGTATACTGTATGTATTTCATGGAAGGAATAATAACAGAAGGAAATGATTTAAGCCATCCAAAAACTGTGGACTTGAAATTTTCTTTCAAAGCCATGACTTAAAAAGCGAGTCCGGAATTCTGCAAAAACCCACCCTAGACTCAGAGATATGCAAGCCCAACATCTGTATGACAGAGAACCTCCTCACAAAAAAGATTAGACTGTGTAACAACAAGCACAAAACACCACAGTGTCCATACAACACAAGCCATCACCATCCTTCGATATCAGAAGATCCTAAAAAGTATTTAACATGGTTGGTATCAGTTGAAGCAACCATATCTAATTGTATCTCAACTGTTTGGAGTTAAGATCTGATATGAATCTACAGTACAATTCTGCCTGGAAGTTTTGGATGGCACTGCTGAAATTAGACTTCTAAATGGATTTGATTAGAAAACACCAGGAACATTTTCAATACTCTTACAGCTATCACTATATTTTTAGCAATTTAACTGTTGGGTGCCTATTTATCAAATTAAGGTGGAGAAAAGGGGTGTGGTTTTTAGACAAATGATCACTGTTGACTTTCATGCAACAGATTGAAGCCCACGGACAACCTGAACAGAGCAGAGTGTAGGCTTCTTGTCTTTTTGCACCAGAGGCCTCCTACCCTGTTGCTGTGGTCGCTGACTTTGATGATGGGCTCGTTCTTCCGCAGGTCCCAGACGGAGGTGCGGCCGCTGGGGCTGGCCGAGGCCAGGATGTGCTGCACCTGCCTGTTCCACGCCACGCTGCCGACATCCTCCAGGGGCTGAGCCGGAACACCAGCAGATCCCCCGTTAGAGAAAAACCCCCTGCGCTCAGACCTCTTTCACAAGACCGCAGCGCAGTCTGTGGCGCTGGGGGGGAAATCGCTGAGCTTGCCAGAGAACTTCAGCGAAGACAGTATCGAAACCAGAAATACAGTGCCTCACACAGAATGCTGGCATTTCTAACATTACTGCACACAAGACTACAATATGATGTTCTGTCAGTTGATCCAAGAAAGAGACACTGCTCAAATATAGTGCCTTGCAAACATAATCACTCTTTCTATGGCTGTCCTATTTTGTAAAATTACAAAATGATGGACACTTTTTAAACTTAATATTTATTTCAAGACCAGAATGCTCGAACTGAAGACTTCTGAGGCAAAATAAATGTCAACAAAAACAAACGTTTCTCGATTGTATAAGTATACAGACCCATCGATACAATATTTGGTAGAAGCCCCTTCGGCAGCAATTACTGCCACAATTCTTTGGGTAAATTTTGCACACTGGTGCAATTTATTTGGAAGATTTGTTCTGTCTGAAGTTACTCATGAATTGCTTAAGCATAGCAGTTTTGAAGTTCTTTCACAGACACAAGTCAGAACTTGTACTCTGCCATTGAAAGACATCCACTGCGTCCAGATGCACAGCTGAAAATCAATAAATCACAACATGCAAAACGCCTTTACCTGAGATTTTGGTCCAGGTGTCATCGGAGATCCAAAACTGTTCAGGTCCCAGATGTAGATTTCAGATTCGTTACCTCCCGAAACTACGAGGTTTGTCTGTGAAACAATTGGAATCCTTTTACGTATGCATTAAAGTTTCCAAAATCTTAGTGCTTATCGTGTCTAAAAGATGCAGAAAGAAAAGTTAGGAGTTGATATGATTTTACCTGAAAAGGGTTGATGTCTAGAGCTCTCACAGGGCCAGTGTGCTTGTCATTTTGGGCAATCACAACATCCTCGTCTCCTGCAATAATCTTGGCAGGGTCATACAGAATGACATTGCCATTTTCCCCACCAGCAATGAGAACTCCTGAGGGCAGGCCCTGCGAGTCCATGCCGTGTGGTCCCCACACCAGCTTGTGGTACCTAGGAAAGGCCCGAGACACAGACTTACTCACAGCACTGAAACGGTTTGGGAAAGGCAAACACAGAGCAAGGAAAGTCATTACTGGATATCCTAGTGATACAGAGATTTCAATAGGCTGGTCAAAAACATTAAATTCAATGGCCTGCGAGTGAACAACAGCATTGTCCCAAACACTTCCCAAACATACAGTCCCAAAGTACTCCAAACAGCTTTGTCGCAAACCACATAGCAGATTCAGTCGCTGTCCTGGAGGGTCAGAGTATGCGTATTTCAATGTATAATCTGGTTTTCATTCCAATGGATGACGCTACTGGAAAATGGAGGGATGAATGGAAATACTGATGGCTGTGGCACCACAGGGTGATATGGCAGGGGGAAAAAAAAATCCACAGCACTATGTTTTTGGTCCCCATGGCCTGAAAAAACATATTTCCTAGAGAGTGTGCCTTGGTTTTGTACTGTGCTTCCCCATCCCCCCCCCAGCCTGGACTCTCATCCTCTACCAGCGCTTCAGACACACCTGTGTGAAGAGGAGAAAGCGCCACAGGACTTCATGTCCAAGGTGGTGTCTGCCAGGTCAAGCTCAAAGATCTCCAGCGAAGCTGTCGTACTGAAAGTGGCATCAAGCTGTTGTGCTGAAGTACCTGGACGTGAAGAAGTAGGCCATGAAGAGCAATCCATACCATGCTTTGCAGAAGTATTCAGATCCTCGCATCTTTTTCACATTCTGTTGCTTTAAAGCTCTTAGTCATGACAAATTTGAAGTATCAATTAATATTTGTTCTATACACTACCATTTCCACACATTACAAACAAAATCAAAGAAGTAATTAATAAAGGAAAAATGGAAAAGTCATTCAAAGTAAATGGATAATCTAAAAATTGCAAAGTTCCCTAAGTATTCAAACCTTTTCATCTGGTGAACCTAAATGTAGGGGCGCAAATTTAACTTAAACACAGTTGAGTGACCCTGGACAGTGGTAGGTGATAGTGGTTCACTTGGTGAGGTATGCCTTGGTCAGGTAGGGGATATCAAGCAAAGATTCAATATTGAACACCAATGAGTTTTCAAATGACTCAGGAATAACGTTATATAAAGGCACACATCAGAAGTCAGGAGAAAGGTATAAAACATTCCAAAGACACTTGATCTCTCTTTGTAAAGCTGATCATTAAGTGAAAGACACCCAGCACACACTGCCCTGAACAGGCCCTCTCTCGGAAGTGAACTAGTAGCTGGGAAAGGAAGAAACTGGTTTGAGATCTACATACGAGGCAAATGGTGACTTTGTTGACTCATGGACATTTTCTATCTCAGCCACTAAATAATTATTTCAATTTCCCAGTTGCTTCACATAGGGATCTTATATGTAACTGAACAAACACAAAACAACTCAAGCCCCACATGAGCCTATGTGATTCCGCACACATGTGGTAAAAGGCTCTGTGCTCAAGCAAGACAGATCTGGAACTTTTTATTTTGAATGTGCAGTGTTACACTTGACACAAACAGTACATCACTTAGCCAACAATTCCCACTGTCAAACAAAATGGTGGTAGCACTCTGTTATTGTTCTGTTTCTTGCCATCAGGGACTGGAAAGTAGTAAAGGCTAATGTGAACATGTATGGGGCAAAGTACTGAAAAATGTAACAGGAATGCCATCAAGGACTGGGACAAAAATGTACCTTAAGCAGGACAATGATCCAAACTACAAGGCCAAAGCTGCACTACTGTGTTGTAAGATCAAGAAAGTGAATGTTCTCGAGTGACCCAAAGTTCTGAATTGAATCCTGTTGAAAATCTGTGGAAAGACCTGGCATCTATTAGTGATGCCCAATCAACCGGAGAGAGCTTGAGCAAATCTGCTGAGAAGAAAGTGCAGGAGTGAAGGCTGTAATTGCTGCCAAAGGCATTTCCACCAAATATTGAGTTCTTGGGTCTAAAAACTTAAGCAATCAACATATTCCAGTTTCTGTTTAGTTTTTGTTGACATTTATTGCGACATATCTTACCCTAAGGAGTTTTCAGTTTGGGCATCCACTTTTTGAATAAAACTATTACATTTATAAGATGTCTGGGCATCATTTTGCAGGCATTTCACAAACTGCCACACCAAAGGAAGAGTCTGAATACTGTGGATGCTGGCTGTTTGCATCTCAATGTGGTGTGAAATGTGTCCTACCTGCAGCCAGATAGATGGGGTGGTGCTGGCCAGGGCTCCAGGCCTGTATTGCAGTCCGGTCTATTTCCTTTAGCTTCATTCTGGGAGAAAAAAAGACCAGGTCAAGAGGAGATGGAAGTGGAAAAAAAAACATTTCCTAAGGAATTATGCTAAACCACTCGACACCAAAGCCAAAGCAAATCCTTATAGGATTCTCACAGACACCAAGTGCGTCTTTAATTGGTCAATGGGGTTGTAAAGTCAAATTCTTCATAGAAAAATATCTCAAACAGGCACCAAGCTGCAAAAAGTACAACTTACACACACACTTGTGTCTACCCCTCTTAAAATGTTTAGAGAAGTAATGGCACTTATGTATTAGTTTACCAATACAGGATTGTTGCTATAACTTTCAAGGACAAATGAGCACTTAGATACATGCAATGACCAATACGAATATCTTAAGAAAAACTTATCAATAACCATGTTTAAAGTAATGTGTGGTCATCAAAAACGATTTGATTACGGTCCGTGAAGGAGTAAAAACATCACAGAACTTAATTCAGCTAATTTAGTAGCCATGAAATCTGCATTTTCAAGATGTTATTCAAGCATTTTTGGAAGATAAATCTAATATCTGCAGGAATCTTGTACTCAAGGACTGTCTGCCTCCAAGATACAGGATAACAATGCTTATGCCATCAGTGGTAATTTTAGTTCCGTGGTCCTGTTGGAAAGATATTCCAATATAAACACTATTTTTTGTGCGAGTGTTTTTCATGTTGCCACCAAAGTCCACAGAAAACTCTGAGGACAAGTTCAGACCTGCAGGTCATCAGGTGGAGCTTTCTAATGATGCACAGGCCCCATTTTAATCAACAGACACTACAGCTTACAAAGAAAAATATAATAGATAATAATCTGCTTATTTACATTTAGCTCCCTTTTTTAAAACATAATCAATTTCTAAAAAGTTATTTAATGGAAAATGCAAAAGGAACTTTAGAATGAAGTAGTACAAAAATGGATTTTAGCATTTACAACAGTATTGCATAATAGATTTTTACAAACATTAATAATAACCTGCAAGTTAATTTTCACACAGCAATGCATAGATCATAAAACACAAGAGCCAAGCCATGAATGGGCTTGGATACATAAATTATAAGTTAAAACGGTAACCCTTCTCGGTTGTAATTCGGGTATTACTGTAATCACAGATGTCAGCAGAAAACAATTAAAATCAGCCTTGATGTTTTTAAATGAGAGACAGTGATGCTGAGAGCAAAACTCAGTAAAGAGCTGTAGTTGCCCAAGGGGCAAAAACAAATCACTAATTAGAGAAATAATTAACTGCTCCATTTTTAAACACTTTGACTGAGTTAATTTGAATGTCACAGAAACACATTTTGGACAATGCTGAGGTTTAAAGGAGAAATATTAGAATACATCAGTGACCTTTAACTTTGCCAAAAGCACCTAATGACAAAGTTTTGAAGAAACAGTTAGACCTCATGCTGAGACCTAACAAGTCAAATGACCTGCACAGAAGAAACTAAGGCACTAGATGAGACATCAGCTCCCTATACGAATTCAAGTTAATGAGGTCACATCAGGGTTATCAGGACTCCAGTTCAAATATAGCCTGCCCACTCTGGCTCACATCCACTCGAGAACAAGAAGAGGAGGTCACACAACAGAAAGATAACAGCTCCCTACATGTGCAAGTCCTTCCCAACAGGCACAAACCCACAGGTCCAACGTCAGACCTACCCCACTCACCAACATGCCATTAAGTAAAAGAACCTTTTAGTGTGTTTGGGAATAATCATTCATTGGCTAAAATGTGGATGCAATACGTACAAAGCATACAGGGGAAAATGGGACCCTCAACCCAGACAATATATGTGCTTTTAAGGCTGATTATACCATATTTTAGCAATGTGACGTAATCAAAAATTGCACAATGAACCTAGTTGGTAGCCTGAAGTCAGTAGTATGATATGTATAGTAGGATGATAACTCTGCCAACCGCAACACTCTTCATTATAAGTAACCCAGAATCACTAACTCTCCTCTCAGATGGCTTTATTTGCAAATCACTGGCTAATGCCATAACTGAGAAGAAAGAAATGACTTGGCTGGAAACCCAGAACTGCATACGCAGCAGGTCTAATATGGTTTTCGTAAAGGCCAGAGCACAACAATTTATTAAATACGAAATTTTAGGGCAGTTTTGTAAGATTCTCATCCCAACTAGTTCTCACACTTTTAAATTCTTCTCCATTAACTTTTAAGACACATTTTTTCAAACAGGTCATAAGAAAGAACTCTTATGTCATATAAATCTTTAAATCATGTACTACATCTTCTCAGTCCCAGGGAGTTCTAGTTAGGGAAGAGAATTAACATTTATATGATTAAAATATATTGTTAAAACATTGTTTATACTTAAAATTAGCCATTTACAGAGAAAAAGACTCACCACGCCTAAATATTTCACCACAGTGAAATGCAATAATTCTTTTTTAAATGACTTAAATTTAAGTGTGATTAAAATGTAATTATGAATAGGAATTACTATTTGTGAAATTACAAATATTCAAACAAAGACCATAATGAGGTCGAAATTGTATTAAAAAAAATGTTTTATTCTACACTCTCATTGGCCACAGTCTGTGAACCGTATGCAGCGATACACAAGAGGGCAAAGGCTCAATAGATAACTAGCCACAGCGTTTTGGCACCGAATTGCCGTTTCTGTGGTAAAACATCTAAATATGAAAACAACAGTAAGCGATTTCCTTGATCCTTTTAAAAACGCGTTTCTTTTAAAGAGCAACGTTTAATCTGGTAAAAAAATGAAGTTTTACGACTGGTCTAATTCATAGATCTGTGCCAACAAGCACTGTTTTTTTTCCCAGTGATTCGCTGGGGGGGTAATACTGTAAACACAAATTGTTTTCGTAAAGCAGCACATTAATGCTGAACAGAAAACCACAGCTCCAAAACGCCACTCATGCAAACTTTTACCTTTTTTAGATGAATGAAACGGAAAGACCAAAGTCGACAGGAAACTGCGGGGCAGCATGAAGCTGCGTCCAAAAATACGGTTTTACGTCGCGTAACCGGAGGAATACTTGCAAAGCATACACGTAAAACCGAGAGTGGATTTGTAATATTCACTGGTGCCCGGCGTTGCAGCTGTGAGACCTGAATGGATTGAGGCCTAGGATGCAGATCAACAAATTCAGTGTTCTCCCTGAATGAAGGCTGGTGGTATAGTGGTACCGAGCAGTAATACAAATAAGTGGAATATCTTCCACGAAAGTCCCCTTACCTTCCGTGCACAGTACGTTGATTGCTTAAAATAAAAAAAAAGTAAATATCAGAAGTCAGCCTGCTCTTGATCCACTTTAAATCGTATATTTCCCCCCTTTATCCTTCAGGTTCCCTTTCCTGGTTGTTACGGGGTTTATTATTTCTGGTCCCGGCTGCAGGTTTACGGCTGCGACTCAACAAAGTCCACGTCCCCATCAACGTGGCAATCCTCTCTCCACCCCTCACACTGAGCACTTCCGGCGAGCGGAGCAGGACGGTGCTCTCGCAGCCGGCGGAGGAGAACGCGGATCTCTCTCCCAGGGTTCAAGACGGTCCTTGCTCGGGGACCGACACATGAAGTTAATAGGTTTGCAACAATCAGAATTGCACAAATAGAAAATGCCTGTATAATTTAATCTTTTTATCATTCACTTTTTATTTCTAAAATATTATCGCATGGATGCATCTTTTGCGACGCCATTTACTAAAACCTTAATTGTAAAATACCACGTATTTTTTGGTACTTTTCAGAAGGGGAGAAACAAAAAATTAGAAAAACATGGTTTAAATATATATTTGCAATAACTTAATGATTATATTCCAGCAGGAATGTAATGTCACAAAAAATGATCTCACCTTTTCCACGTTGTTCTGTAAAGATGTTTATAATCCATTTATGCATGTCAGAATAAATTAAAGCCTAAAACCCAGGAGATTTTTTCATTTCATTTTTTCATTTCTTCACTCATTTCAGTTCTCAAAATTAAATTGGATGTAAAACCATATCAATCTTATGGAAAACGTTCACTCAACAATTAAAGTACATTATTTAAAGATGTTATTTCAATTAATCATGTTTGGTTTACTTTAACAATCCAAATGCTCTGAAGCAGCTCCCAAACATGTTTTCATTACCTTAACAGGAAATCCACTGCAACACGCTATCAAACTATAGTTTTCATGTAATCTTTTGCCTCCACTAGGTCTATGAAAGGGGGCATTGTTTTACAGGTTTGCTGCTGAAGCAGCATTGCTAGGATAACTACTTTTCAATTAATCTGTCTCCCAACTCAGCACAATCTCTTTAAAAAGGTTCTTGGGAGGCTTTAGACAAACTAAACCTATGTAGTTCAAGTGGGTAGCTGCATGACCTGCAAAGGAACATGTAAAGGTTTATTCCATGCTGAAAAAAGGAAAAACATTTCAGCTTGGGACACACCTGAAGAAGGCTCCACAGCAGAAATGTTTCAGCCTGTAATAACCCTCTACTTGTTTCTAAACCTACATTGTTTCAGACCCTTCTAAAAAAAAAAGATGCCCTGTAAATTCCACAGAATATAAACCAATACTGAATGATCTCTTGGTCTACGTGAGGCCAGGTGATCAGCATTTGCTCATGGTTAATTCCAAAATGTGCACACTTAGCTCACATCAAGACATCATTAATGTGGAAAAGACTTGTACCCAGATATCCAGATCCATTTTGATAGCTATAAACGCACAGAACACGTAGTGTTTGGTTACCCAATAAGACATTGGCTTGAGGCAAGAAATTCAGAGAACTGCAGTCATGTTTCATTAAAAATATTTATTTGGCACAAAATTACATTACACTTAAGAATTAAGGCTTCAGAGTAAGCCTGGAATATTACCAGAATTTACAAGAATTTAACTCTTGTGGTAAAATAACTAGTGTGAGAACCAAAAGGCTCCACATATATATATATAAAGCCATATAAGAATTCCTGGATAATGTTTGAAATCTCATTTTTACATTAATGTGACCTTATCTGCAACACCCTAAAATTGATTTCGTCTCTTCACACATACTTCTCTGAAAACAGCTTCTAATAAACCAAAACCAGGGCTCTTGTTTTACATGGTTGTTGAAATGTCTGCAACACAAGTTTATGGCCGATGGGTTGAGGACTGGTTGGCTTGTTCCCTATGCCATGTTGAAGCCGATATTCCGGCTTCCATGAAAAAAAGGGCTTGGATGTGAGAAGCCTATTGTTTTTTCATGGTTAATTGGTCAAGATGGTCCCCCACATTTGCAAATGAGAGGATTCCCCACAAGATCAGAAGCAGCTGGTCTTCAAACCGGGCAAAAGCAGGTCTAGAGCATTCGTGTAGACTCCTCTGTAATCCCCAGGAACACTGCAAAGATAAGAATGTCAAGATCACCAACACATTCAACGGACTTCATTGCCTCCCATTAGGAATTGATATTTTAGTTCTGCGAGATGTAGACTGAAGACTCCTTGCATTTCCACACAAGGCTATGGACACACTTGTAAGATTGTTGGCTCGTCCCTGATCCCCCCCCTGCACTGCCAGATTGACCTCATGGTCACCAGCAAGACACCATCTGTGGAAGGCTTCCTTCACTGGGCTCAACATGAAAACCCGGCTGAGAGATTTTCCAACTATTAAGCGTGTGCATGAAGGATAATAGTTAAAATTCCAGTTCCTCAATGCACTGTAATGCAGTCCTACAGTCCCGAGACAACACTGTGAATATGAATCCCAAAATACATGACAAATAAATGGGTTTCTTTGAAGATGCTGCTTGATAGAATGCCAGGAGGCCACAAGATGCAATAGCAAATACTGCCATCAGTTAGCATTTGTGGCCTCGCTTAGTGTACACTTAGCATTTGGTAGAAGCCAGGTCCTTTGTGTCCTTTTACGGTGTACTGCAAGACACCCACAGTAATAGAGCCTAGCACATGGGTATATAAGCACCACTGGCCAGTCCTCTCAATGGCAAGTTTCTTAAACCACTTATAGATCTCAAACTAACCCATCTTTCCATTTTACAAGATATGTACTTAAAAATGAAATTAGATGACCGCTATGTGGCCCTTCTGCACCAAGATCTGGCCACTACAGCCAAAAACATTTGCTACATTTTAAAATAAACATTTTTCTCCAGAGGCCTTTATGACGCAATGACTAATCGGGGCCTCCACGACAAAGGATTTCCAGCAGCTGACTGCACCCTCATATACAAGTTTTAATCCTCCCCCCAGAGGAGGGTCAGATGGGTAGTGATTGATTATAATCACTGGGCCAGTCAGATTGGCTGTGATGTGTACAGTGACTCCATGGCTCACCTGCCGAGTGGAGATAATGGTACCAGACAGTGCAGCCCCACAGTCCCTTTAACCTCAGTAGGGTGAAGTGCTCCTGTTCTGAAGGAAGAGAAACAAGAAGAAAAACTAATAAGAATCACAGCTTATTAAAAATCATGGCAAAAAATTGTGTTCAGCAGTTCTGTGATATTTTAAAGGAAACCAAAGCCTAAATCTGAGCTGTCTATTTAATCGAGCTGAGATTTGTTTTAACAAGCTGCACAATTGAAACCTTTATTAATTTTCTCAACTCGGATACGGGAGAGCTCGGGTAAAACAGTGCTGGTGCTCTGTACCCTAAAAAAACGATTTCATTCTAATCGTACTCCCTCATCTGAGCCACACGATTGACTCCGCCATTTCCTGCACTTAGGATTTAGTAACGGGAGACTTGTGTTGAATTTACAAGAAACTGATGCTGCCCTACATCCTTCTTAACTACTGTTAAAGAAGTTCAGACAAGTTAGACTGACACTAGCACTCAATTCCTTTGTGTTCTGTTCGGCGTGAGGTTTGTGGGACATTACACGTGCGTGAAGGAATATACCGCGCTTCATTGTTAAAAAAGGCGCTCGTAAATTACCTTGCAAACTTCAATTACACTCCATCTCCAAAAGGATCAAGACCTTTCAATGGGCAACGAAGGAATCTGGAAGGGAAACAAAAGATGTTAAGAGCTCATCGTTGGTGTTGGGGGAGGAGCGCCAACTTCAAATAAAACGTGGCTTGGAAACTATAACAATTTACCAGAACAATGGAACACAGAATGAACTCTTACAGACAAGATCCTTCACCAAGTGGAATCGGTTAATAAGAACGACAACTAAGTCAGGCCAGATTTTCGTGTCGCCTAAATAGGCGCGGTAAGAAACCGAAGTCAGCCCGTGTCCTCATATAACTAGATAAATCGTAATCACAATGCTTCATGATGTGAACAGCAGAAAAGAGTTTAAAATCATCGGACACAGGCGACATTGGGTATCATCGTAATCATTATTGCGCTAATTAAGTACATAACCAGAGGAAAGGGTGCAAACATATTGCTCAGATAACTATAATTTTGCCGACCCCTACCGCAACCCGACTTGCTGTAACTTACTCCGTGTTCCCTTCTCCTCCACGCGTCTTCTTTTTTGTCTCACATCGTTGAAATAATCTTTTGTGCATACGCCAGCATTGCACAGCACACCACATGTGCCACCCCTAGGATCAGCTTTCCACATCGTCTTCTACTTTGTTCCTCTCACCCCAGCATCAAAAAGGAGCTAACGCTCACAATTTAGGGGTTTTATATGAGCTCCGCGGGGCAGTATGGGTAGGTCGTAAAAAGACGCCAATGACGTAAAGAAAATGTGGACAATACGCGTGGTTGCTTGGGAGTTTTCTACTTCCGGTCAGGAAATACAGTTGAGCGATGATGCAGGTACTCAACCTGTTGAAATATACGGAAGTGTCTCTCCCCCCCACAATATATTTAACCTGCTTGTTTAAACAATAGTGGTCACACATAATGTGCATGTTAAAATTGTGTTGTTCTTTGAACTTCACACAACTGGTAAAGAGATTTGTATTACCCGAGAGTGCATTAAATTTTACAATCGTCGAAAAGGTAAAGCATGTTTTGAAAAAGGGTTTGTGAATTCTTTTTTTACTAGTTGCTTTATTGTCAAGTGACGACAGTGAGATATGGAGAAGATTACTAGTCAGTAGGTTATTGGCAACGAGCTTGTAATAATACGGAATAGGCTTGTTAAAGAGTTAAACTAAATTACACACAAATTGCAAAGTCTGGATCTGCAACAATCCAAGGAGCTTGAGAGCCGCAAACAAGCTCACAAAAATGTAAGATAAATAATACAACTCCCCTTTAAAATAGACTCTTTTTGGGCTGTTCTGGGTTTGGTAATTGCCGACAATAAATCCGGTGTCATAAACATACCTTCTTATGTATTCATAACATATTCATCATTCAGAAGAGTATTCATACATATTCAAGAAATATAACATCATACAGCAGAGTTACGGACTGGACTGTGTGTCTTGCTTAAAACGTAGTGTTGTCCTGTGCTCTTAACAGTATTGCAGAGAGCAAAGTCCTATCTGCACACTTTCACACCTTTGTAAATGAGCTCTTTGTAAATCCTTCCTTGGCAGGAGTCCTCCAGCCAGAATTGTGCTAATTCTTTCAGTCTTTTTATTTGTGATTGGATTAAGGTCAACAGGTTGAAATGACCAGTCAGTTTTGTTCTATGTACAGTTCCCCATTCCTTTGTCAGTTTGGATGTCTGCTCAAGATCACTGTCATGAAAGAATGTCCCTTTTCAGCCAAGCTTGAGCTTCTGGATTTATGTGTCTTGAAGTTCACAATTCCTCTTGTCTTAATAAGGACTCAAAGTGGTTTGCATCAGTAACAGTAAATGCAAAACAACCCTGAAACATAATAGAGACCTTGATTTTTTTCACAGTAGGCAGTTTTCTCAACATGAGTTTAACTTTTTTTTACTGATGAGCATGTCCAAAAGTTCCACTTTTCATTTAATCCGACACAGTTTTGATTTACATTCAGGCAAATCGGCTTCTTCCTTCCAATCTAAACATGAATGCTACTTTCATGCAGGCAACATCAGAAGGTAGTTTTCAACCCTTTGAGTCCTGAAGGTGCCAGTTTGTGATGCCTTTATAATTTACAAAACCCGAATGACCAAACTGAAGACTTCTAGGGGTAAAATAAGGTACAGCAAATGCAAAAACTGAAAAGTCTGAAATACTTCCATTGTAATGCAATCACTCTGAACAATGATTCAAAATTTGGAGGAAGCATTTTTAGCAGCAATTAAAGCCATAAGTCTTTTTTTGCGTCTCTTCCAACTTTGCACTCTATTATGGTGCAAATTTTGCCCCTTCTTCAATCTGGTAGATTTGATCAGTCTATCAAGTTGCCTAATGATTGCTGTTAGACATCAGGTTTGAAGTCTTTGCACAGATTCTCAAATGGATTCAAGCCAGGACTTTGACAGGGCCACTCAAGCATATTGACATTCTTATTTTTAAGCAACTCCAGTTTAGCTTTGGCCTTGGGTCTCTTTTACTGAAAGGTGAATTTTCATCTTACATTTACAGTAGGGCTTTAGCAGACTGAAGCAGGTTTTCCTCTAACTTTGCTCCATTCATTTCCCCCTCTGTCATAAAAAGCTTCCCAGTCTCTGCAGATGAGAAGCCATCCCATGACATATTGCCACCACCATGCTTCACTGTCGGGAAGGTGCTGACTGGATCATGCATTGCATTAAGTTTATGCCAGACTTAAAACTTTGCATTTTAATAATAGTATTGACTGGACTGCCAAAACAACGTTTTACCACATTTGCAGCATCAATTAAACACTTTGTTGCAAACTCTGTGAGGGATTTGAGATTAATTTTCCATTTCACCATAAAGGCTTGTTTTGTAAAGTGTTCTGTAAATTCTCCCATCTTGGGGCATCGAACAGAGCTCTGTCACAGTGGTCATTAGCCTCATGGAGTCCCTCTTCCTCCTTCTACAGCTGTTCAATTTGGAGGTATAACCTAATCTAGGCATTGTCTGGGTGGTAGAATACACCTTCCATTTCATAATGAGTAGACTGCGTTCAAAGGGTTATACATTTTGTACCTGTTATTACTGACGTGCAGTAGTTTTCATGGTTGAAACTCTGCTTGATACCAAACAACCCCACAGAGACAGATGTATATAATCTGAAATAATTGCACACAGAGGACACTGAACTGTGTGGCTCTTTAAGGTAATTTTATGCAACTGAATTAGGGTTTCCCGTAGTGAGTTTCAATGTTTATTCACGATTTCAGTTTTTTAATTTTTGCTTTTAAAGGTGAGTGTAGGTTGTATATATAACACATGTTAATTGCTACTTCAAAATGTCATGACTGCAAGGCTTAAAACAACACAATGTGCAAATATGAAGCACTAATAAGGAGCAGGAGCAGTTGCAATCAATAGTGAGGTCAATAAACATGAGCTCTGTGTAATTCTGCAGTAACTCCTTAATAATAGACACTCAAAATACAGACATGCAAAGTGATTTTTTATAAAAATGTATTACCAATCATATTTTGTTACCACAAAAGTGGATGATTCGTTCAATTCAGTTCTAAGTTTAAAGTCTTTATAAACTAATGATTGAACTGTTCTTAAAGACAGGCTGGACCAAGATTACTGGTGGTCACCAGCTATCTTATATCTACTACAGGACAACATCTTTATTGTTTTGTGTCTTCCCACTACTTAGAAAGTGAAGATGAAGTGTTAAAGGGAAGAGAATTTCAACATCTTAGTGTGATGAAAGTATTGCTTGTGCACATATGGTAAAGAAAATAAATAATAAACATGCTTGCTACACCATTTTTACTTCAATCCAGACTCCCGCAGCAGCACAAACTTGTCTTTCAAATGTGTAAACACAAATACTGTAATGCTGACATTTAGTTCTTAAAGTGAGAGCCGCTAACTGCTGTATAAAACAAAAATTGTTAGGCTCTTGCTTAGTGAACAGTTTTTTTTGTTCCACATTAACTATTGGCCAGACTATAATACTCCAGATAGACTACATGGATGTTGCCCAAAGAGTTAACAGCACCATCCCAGTAAACGAACTGAGATTTAATAAAAGTACAGTATTGCGTACTACAAATGATCATACGCAGTTACATAAGAGAGATGAGCATTTACACAGCATTCTAAAGCCATTATGCTGACTTTGTGATCTAGATAGACTGTTTAGCAATATCACATCACAAAGTGGTTTGCATCGCTAACAGGCTTTCCTACAGTATAAGAAGTATTGGTCTTCAGAATTTTAGCATTGAGTACCTAATGCCACTTTTGAACACTCCAGCTTTAGATGGGGTGTAATTTGGAGAGATGTGATCAGTATATTGCATAAAGAAATTGGTCGGGATGGTATCACAGTGATTACCATTGCTGCCTTGCAGCTTTGGGGTCCTGGGTTCAGTTCCAGGCCTGGGGTGCTATCTGTGTGGAGTTTGTAAGCTTTCCCTGCGTTCAGGTGGGTTGCCTCCCATAATTCAAATACTGTTAGGTTAACTGGTTTGAAATCTTTTTCTCTATAAGCTACCAACATTTGCCTTAGACAAACCTAAGTGTAGAAAATGTCAGTTTAAAACATCATAAAAAAATAAAATGGCATGAGATTCCTGGCTAAAGTAGTGTTGAAACTCCCAGGCGACTTACCTGCTAACTTGACAAACGCTGCACACAATTTGTTACAGAACTGTATAAAGTTTATTTGATTTATAGTTTGCTTACAATATAGACTGTCACTGAACATTTTAAGCATGTTCACTAAATATAAATCTTTCTGTTAAAGGTTGCAAATAAATTTTTTTCTTAAATTCTGAGACTACATGTTATACTGTCAACTTTATGTAAGTTGTTTAAGGGAGGGATGAAAGGTTGATAAATTAAATAATTCTCTAGACAACAAAAGCAGAAATGTTTACAAAGCAGATAGAAAAAAAAGTTTAAAAAAATCATTCCACCTTCAAAGTAACACAAGCAATGGTCACACCAACATACACAATCTACAGCTCCAAACACTACAGATTTTGCGTCACACAAGACCTTCAATACACAAAGAGGTGAAGGAAAAACATTTACATATTAGTAGAGAGCTTCGGGTATTTTAAAAAAATGTAAATATTGAAAATTCTTTAAACCTTGATAAAGTAGAAAGAAGCTCTAATGGATCTGCTTACACTAATTTACATTTATACAGTTTCTTTTCTCTTTCCAGTCCCTGAAATGGGAGGCAGGCTGTTGACTACCTGGATAATCCAAACACACACACACATTAAAAACGGACCGAGGTCGAAGTGGGCAACAACTGTCAGCAGAAAACAGGCTCTGCACTTTTTAAGCCTGGATTGTTACCCTTTTTTTGTGTCAAAATGAAAAGCAACCTCCTGCCTTTGAAATTACACAGTGTGAAGGTGGCAGAAAAGCCAAGTTTAGTTAGGACAATGGGATGTTCAGCCTAAACACAGTGCGTTCTTCCATTGTTCCACAGCCCTTTTGACCACCACCTAATAAAAAAAACGGTGTCCCCATCATCCATGTTTTTAGCACGTTGAACACTACTGGAGGGATGGTGTCTCTGCAGGTTCTCTTTTCAATTCAGATCTCAATGACTTTTAATCAGCTCATCACTGCCCAAATTAGACCAATTTAACAGCTTCTCCCAGCTCTGCTGCTGCTTTTAATTGAGACCTGGCAAACCTGCAGGCACACCGGCCCTCTAGGACCAGTACTGGTGTAAACAGAGTAATGGACCATCCCACCGCCCAGCACCTCTTCCTGTTTCTCCTTTATCTCTGCTCCCTTATTGGGTTTTGTAGTGGTCACATCAAATGAAGTGGCAGTGATCAGTGAAGTGTGGTTTAGAAATTTTACAAACGTCTGGGTGGAATCTAGAAATTGAAATGGATGCCACAAGTCCATAAAGATGACTACTAAAACTATCAGCTACTAAAACCCAATGTTTATTAAAATAAGTGCTATGTTGTACATTTTTTGTACATCTCTGCAGATTTAATAAAAATAAGATAAATTGGAACAGTAACATCTTCCATTTGAAGCGGTTAAAATAATTTGCTCTCTCTGCTGCGCTAAACAAAACAATGCATGCACCATCCAGTAAGAGAAGCCACAGCCCGATGAGTTTTTTTTTTTTTTACACGGACTGGTAAATGGGCTTACTTTATGGCAGGACCACAACTTCCATCTCAGCCATGTAGTACCAGCAGAACAAGAAAGGTGCAGGACAGAGATTCTCCTCATCCTAGAAAGTAGCTATTGAGGGAAAACAACAGTCAAGCGGCTTGTTATCATACTAGTTCCAGAAAGAAGAAAATCAACCACAGCATCAAAATAATACACATCAGAAGTATTTCCAAGCCTCACACATGTGCCTAGTATGGTACTATTCAAAGCAGTCAGCTACTCGCAGTGAAATGTTGAATATATAATCCTAGAGGCCCTGAGCAAAGTTGAAGCTTAAGGCTGGGGGTGTTCTAAATAGACAGACGATCTCAGAGCACCATCACACCATCATGATTATCTGGGTCTCTTCAGACACAAATCACACTTGCAAAACTATGGGAACAAGTTCACTCTGGCAGGTAAACAAAGGGTGCAGCTCAACAGCTTTCAAAATAGGCAAAAGGTCACAGACATTGTCTGTTCATAATATTTTTTCCCAGAAGGCTTTACTCATTCACGTTCCCCATCTCTATACACCATCAAATCACCAATCATGGTAAGACAGAACACCAAAGGGAAAAAAAATAATTTTAAAATGCCTGATTTCTGTCCTTCTTTCCTTATTAATTGGTTGAAACTCTCATCCAAAGTGACTTATATTTGTACTCGTGTATACAGCAGGGTGTTTTACTGGAACAATCTTTGTGAAGTACCTTGCTCAAGGGTACAACAGCAGAGTACCTCATGGGATATGAACCCACAGAGCCCTGGCCGCAGCTCCACACAGCTGCCGCTACTGGTTCTTCCCAAGACTCCATAGTCAATGTAATTTGGTCCGACATCTGACAACGGGACTGGGAAAAGTGTTGGAGGCTGATATCGGTGTAGACCAATTTCAACATCTGGGAGTAAACGCATATTTCCCAGTTATTTAACAAAGTTCCAGTTTGGTTAACATTCTGATTTGAAGATCAGAAGATCACCCTCCAGTCAAGTTGTCCCCACATCAGAGAGAACTCTGCTTGGATCACTGTCAGCAGGGCTCAGATGCCCGCGATACCAGGGAGCATGAATGTTAGTCTGATCTGCAATTAATTCCTAATCCAAATGTCAGAGCCTGCTGGAGTTCAAAAGACACTCACAGTACTGTAGCACAGGAGCTGTGTGTTGGTAAAACAGCACTGAACCTCTCTGATTCAGATACTTAGCTGGATTTTGTTACACCTTCGGGGACATTTGGCGTGCATGGGTGACCCTTATGCTACAGTAGAAATTACTGTTGTAATGCAGCAAACAAATATCTCAGTCATTTTCAGACACTAATTCTCAAATAACATAACAATAATCTTTCTTTACAACAAGTCAGTTCTCTGGAAGAATCACTATCCAGAAAGGTAAAATGCTACCTGCCATCTTTTGTAGCCCATCTAGGAGGTTTATAAAGCTTCACTGAACAGACACAGTTGGCCTTTTTGTGCAGGTTTTGAGACTTGCACCCATGCAGTTGATTCAGATATTTTTGTACCAATTTAAATTAGGTCTCACAAGCAAATTCCTTCAATATAAATTAAGTAGGAAAAAAAAAATTAACAGTTGCATTTTGTGAAGGAGATGACCTTCATAAGCTCAAACTGAGCAGCAAAGTGCATTGTTAAAGTCTCGGCTACATTCTTAATGTACCTTCAAAGATTCAAAATTTGATTAATAGTTTAAATACCACACTACCTACAGAGAACAGAGGAAACGTGGGTCAACCTTTGAAATTCTCACATTGTATTTTAAATAGAATTAAAACCTTTAATCTCAAACTGAGACACAACAGGAAAGGACATCATTTCCAGAACAGAAAGTCACAGCAAGTGCAAAGAGGACCAAATGAAACAGCAGCTTCAAATGGAAACACGATAAATCCCCCCACTTAACTGCAGTGGAAAACTACAAATTCCTTGGGCTTACCTTCCAGGACTGAACGTTTCCACCAGCACTGGACTGAAGTGAGTTAAGTGTTTCCCTTTTCTATTTCTCAGTTTTCTGAGGCGTAACTTAAGAGGAATGCAAGTTAAATAACTAGGGTACAGTATTTCTCCTCTGTGCAGTACAAGTTCTGAAACAAAGTAGCATAAGCCTACTAAAAATCAGAACTGCACATTGTTGAAATCTAAGCCCTATGACAAGCTATGCCACAGCAGAGAAAAGGTCAAGATGAACAGGCAGCTTAAAAACACTGGAGAAGTCATTGATATTCTAGCTGACAGGTTAATAGTTAAAGTGAAGTATACAGCTTATATCTATCTCATGCACCTGTTGCTTCATCAGCTAGAATTGAAAAGAGCAACGTCCTACCTGTGTATAGAGGACACAGTTCTCATTTTCAGATGATCCATTGTTTCTAAAGATATGCTGACAGCAGCATAGTCATCCACCAGCTTCATTGTTTTTTGTTGTGTGTTTTGGCTACACTATATTACTTCTGTTGGAAAATGAAGACCTTTGTTTTTTTGTCCACGGCTGTGGTGTCAGTGGTAGACGGGAGGGCCGACTGATCTTGGCTTTCCCGAACAAATCAAGTCAGCCTGCAAGGTGAACATTTAACATCCCCAGGAAGCTAAATTCCTGCTAGAGAGCGCTTCATGCAATCCTGAGCTGGAAGGCACACAGCTCATTGTGGCCTTCTGTACTCTAATTCAACCCCTGGTTTTAGTAAAGTCATGAACTTCTATTCTTTCATCCAGAGTGTACTCTTCCTCATTTACAGGATAAATTTTGTAAGCATCACAAAAGGTAGGCACAAGCTCTCATTTAATGATCCATTGAGTAAAACAATTTTCTATTGATTTTGAATCGATAAGTGAACTGATGTGCTTTAAAGGTTATTTTCACAGGCAATCACTTACTATACAATTTCTGTCATGAACCAGGATTGAACAAGCCCTACTTTAAGCTTTAATTTTGGGTTAAGATGCCTTTTATTTTGTTTGAAAAGGGCAATGAGCAGACACAATAATATGAAAGGGTTTTATATTGTATACCGTAACTGATCAAACGGATACATGTGAGCAGGGCCTATTCAAACCTCAACGAAGGATGATTTTGGACCAGGTAACTACAAACTGTTGCTGGTCTGGCAAAATTGAAGGTGTGACACTGATGGTCAAACCTTCATAACTGTACGGTACACAATCAAAACTCACAATTTAGACCTTTCCTTTATTATGGAATGAAACCTGAGTGTGTATGATATATAAACAGTTAAGAATCTTAATTTCAACCACTGTCGCCTCAAAACAGACAATTTTTGCATTATCACTGTATTTCTCACCTTCATCTGTAGTTGTGACAAATGTACCCATCTTTAAAAACAAATAAAACAAGTCTACAAACATCCATTAGAATTTTCCAGCCTGTTCGTTTCAAAAACTAAAACCTTTCTCCAGTTTGTGATGAGAACCATGATGGATAATTTCTTTCTTTCTGAGCAGAAACCTTCTGGCTCATAGTTCAAGTGGTAGAAATCAGCTGGGACAAAAAGCCAAAGATCACCTTTCCTTCGGGAGAATACAGCAGAAACGGCACTCTCTGATCTGGAAATGACTTGAGAAAACATCATGATGGAGGGTAATCAAGAGCGGCAAACAAAATTACAGAAAACCTATTTGAATTGTACATTTAGCACTTTCTGGCATCATGAATCCCAAATGGAAGGGTCCTCTGACACTAACTCAAGGGGCTCTCCCCATGCTGTACACCTTGTGCTCTGACAGGGGTGTGCAGTCAGCCTTTACTTTCACAATCCCAGTGCTGTCTGTGGTGTGGGGTTTTGCAGAATGGCTTAGCAGTTTATGGAACACGGGTCTGTCTTGGCCTTGCCTGCAGAGTTTATGATTCTCATGAGACATCGTCCAAACTCCTCTAAAATCATCCTCTCCGCCACTGCCTGAGGTCGGTGCGATAACTCCGCTCTTTCCGCCTCTTCAATCAGACACTCGCACGTTGCCTCGGCAACATCTTTGGTGACAAATGTGTAGGGCAACCTGCAGGCACATGAAACACTGATCAATGCTTGTTCTGATTTCTGTTTACAAATACATTTGTTTCAGGGAAAGGACAGGTAACTTTAAAGATAACCTGAAGGAAAAAAAGCTGCTGTGCTTTGGCTAGATGTCTTAAGTACCCTTCTCTAAATATCACATAACATTTAGTAGACAAACTGTATGCAAAGTACAGAAGACAAAATCATATATAACAGGTCAAACTCATTTTTTCTAGCATCAGATTAAACCCTGGATGTGCTACATTACAAGCATTTTAATTTACAGACCAAGTAGTCTGTATTGGTTTGGCTGTGAACCCACTGACCTCACTGCAAGAGACCAGCAGACGACACTATGAGCTAAACAACCTTTAAGGTATTGCTTGATATACAAATTGAGGTTTTAACAGTAATTCAGTTTGTATGTCAATCACATAATCCATATTCATGAATGCATAATGTTGTTTCAAAGAAACAGAAGCCTATCAAATGAAGGTATGGATAAATACCGGACTTAAAAAGACTTGAAGTACGGAATGTACAAATAAAGCTCATTTTACTTTGCAGGTTAGGTGCCCCAGCCACTTCCTATCCCACTGAGGCTGCAGTAGTTAATTCTAACTTGCTCACTGTCAAATGTGAAGACATTCAAATTTTCACCAAATTCATTTTCGCTTCTGCGGGTGTGTATGTGAACCTAACAACACAAATGAAGTGCATCCCTGACTGCAAGGCCCTTACTTACTTTCCACCCCCGCTGGTGATGGCTGGTGTGGTCCGGGTCAGCAGATCGGAGATCTGGGACGATAGCTTGGTTTTGGCCGCCGTCTGCTGCTGCACGCGGACCTCGGCCGCGTCCGCCAGGTGCATCAGAGTCTTCCTCTCCGGGCTCTCCTCGAAGTTCTTACAGCCGATGCACTTGCAGATCGAAGAGCACATAATCTTCGCCTGTATCCGGGCAAAGGTCAGATTTACAATACACTTGGCCTCCTAATTAGAAGCCCTTTAAAAACAGATCTAACATGCTTTCAGTGGCATTGAAGAACAGGAGGAAGGGTTTGAATTTAACCTGAAATCAATCTATTCGCAAGGCTAAATTTGAGTATATGACTTTATTTTTATCTTAAATATCATTTTTAATCTGGCCCTGGAAAAACATTCTGATTAATATTGTGTGAAATAGTGATTTTGCTAACCAGACAAATTAAAAGCTCTAAGCACAACAGGCTATTCGTTTTATTCAATTTAAGAGGGGGTACTATAGCATCCACCAGGACTATGAGAGCGATAGTGCTGCAGCTGTTCGGGAATTCATGCGGCAGGGAGATGCACAGGCCGGAGACAGTGATCTCACCTCATAGCACTCGCAGTAGTTCTTGAGGCAGCCGGATCTCTTGCAGTTACAGCCCTTGCTGTGGCGACGGTCTGACTCCCCTTCCTTCCCTTTCCCAATCTTCGGCTTGAAAGCTTCGGGATTTCGATCGAGACAGGCCTGCAAATATATCGCGAGCACCGATCTTGAGCAAGAGGCACGCAAAAGGAAGTTTGCTGCAAGCAAAAGAAGACTACAACTACAAATGTTGCACTTTTAAACGGGCAAAACAAATGATATCAGCCACGCGCTTGAATTGAAAGGTCTTTTCACAGGGGCTGCCAATTGGCTCCCACTGTGAAGAGCTTGCTCACAGTGCAGGTCAATCCAAATAGAGCTCAGCCCTGCTGGGCCGAGACTGGACTAAGCCACTAGCTAAGAGTGACCAGATTAGTAAGCAGCGGGATAAGCACTGCTAGGGCTGGGTGTCTCGGGCCTGCCCCGTAACAGTGGCCCGAGAGTCCCATTGGTCCTGCAATCCTCAGGACTCCCGGCATGAAAAACGCTGGACGCACATGAAAAGTGCAGATTTCAGAAGACTGCATGCACTGTCCTTGTCTGGCCAGAGGTGCTCGACAGCTATAAAATTGAGCTATTTTACAATTGGGGGAATCCAAATTTGTAAAGAAACAATAAGACAATGCATCAGTGAACTTAACATTAATAAAAAGTTAAAGGTACTGTAAGAATCGTTTCAAGCATTTACCCAGTTTGCTTTACATCCTATTTAATATCAACTAATTGATGTGCATGTGCAAGTTTCCAATGACCAAAAAGCATTTTACTGTACTGCCAGCTCTTTTTCTAATGGATTTACCTTAATTGCCTTCAGCCGCTCGGTCTCGTGCTCAAGGTTGTTAAAGCAGTTAGTGCAGTTACAGTTATTACAGAACTCTCCATTCGCAAAACAGTCACAGTACCTACAAAAACAAAATGGCTTTTGATCAGAACTCTTCAGATGGGAATTTAGAGATAACTTGTTTCCTCTTTCAGGCTATCAGGTGCAGTGATGTCTGTTAAAAAAATCTCTAGTTCAGTGAACCACTTTGCTTTTCATGACAAAAGCAGTATAATAATATAGGCTTAGAGAATCTTGGAGAATGAATTAACTTACAATTTGAGGCACTGCGATTTTGTGCAGTTACATGGTTTTCTTGGTCTGGACGCAGAATCCGATGGAGACAACCTGCGTTCCAATAAAAAAAACAACAACATTTAAAACAAAAACATAAATCCTGAAAAATCTGTTTTCATTTAAGAAGTGTCCTAGCATTAACAATCAATCAGTAAAAATCATGACAGATGTCACACACAATAAATACTTTGGTAAGTGATTTTTACATAAAAAATTTAAACCACAAAGCCAATCTTTAAAGATAGTAAATGTTGCCCTGTAACGTGCCTCTAAAAGATTTCAGTTTGAAATTAAAGGTTAAAAAACTCAAGGGACTTTCACTTTGTTTCAGATAGATAACTCCAATAATTTACGGCTTAATAATAACACGGATGAAGACTAATTGTATAAACAGGGGCTGCACATAATTTGCCTGACATGAACTGACTGCCCAAAATTCGACCTGGAAGCAAAACTAAGTGTCCAGCAAATTTCACATGGAATAATGTGTCTTCAAGTATAAGCACGTCTCTAACAGTTAAACAAACTGATCCAACTGTGCCTGCTTTTTAAAGGTGGTTTGTCTAATCAAGACCCTGTTAACACCAGCAATGACACAGTTTTCTTTACTTTCCATGAGGGATGCTTATTGTGTTGTAGTTATTTGAAAAAAGAATTAGGAATTTGTCTTGGCTGCATAACAGGATAGTTGTCCATAGCACGTTATACAATATTTTAATGAGCATTAAGTTTTAGACTGTAACTGTTCTACTAAGACAAATAATTAGCTGCCAAATAAAGTTATTGAACATTTGGGTGCATGTTGACTGTTAAAAATGTATCTTTGCATATCTAACTCTTAAAAATACTGTTTGTGCTACAAGATATACTCAATGCAGATCAGTTACATGTGTAGGTAGCAAAAAAATCCTGAGCTTGTAGCTTGTTATTAAAAAGACTTAGCTGTTTACATTGACACCCCTACTAGACAATGTAAAGAAACAATACAAGGCTAACAAAATGGACAGATAAAAACAGAGAATTTACATGAAGGATGGTTAAGTTAAAATTATACAGTAAGACCTGAATTAGAAAATTGTGTGACCAATATTGGTCACCACAAAAAAGACTGCTGCTCTTGATTCACTCTGGAGAAGCACAACCAAGTACATCCCTGGGCTTACAAGAGTGCCCTTAACTGTGTTCAAGACTCAAAAGGTTCAGTTCCTTTGGCTGATAAGGAGATCTGCTTGTGCTAAATTCTGATTGAAAAATGAACAGAACTAAGTCATCCCCTTTTGAAAATTGATTTTTTTCATAATTCAGGGCTGCAATGCTGCTCAGCCTGACTCACCCATTGAGAGGCAACCTGGCCTGGGTCTGGATACCTGCAGAGGCCGCGAAACTGGTGTTGCTTGCTAAGGACACGAAGGTGGACTGCTGGAGCTGAGGGCAGACAGAGACTATTAGATCGTCCGTGCGGAGGGGCCTCCCGAGCAGCTCAACCAGGAAAGACGCAGACTGCCCAGGGGCTGGCCTGAGCCGCCTAGAAGTACGACAACATAGACCGTAGAAACCAGACTGGCCCACAAAAACACACTCACCTGAATCGAGAATCGCCAAGGTCCAGAGATTCGGCACCGGTAGAAGAGGCATGTCGATAGACGAGGAGGAACACAATTAGCAACAGACAGAATCTAAACTGACACACATTACACTTGCACATGGATAAATATTGTAAATACTGTAATGGCCATGTGAATCTTTTGCATTGCTGGCATTACGGACCTTTTCTTGCTTCAGGTTTAAACAGTAGTAAGCAAGTCTGTAATTGGCTGTATCTGACTGAACAAGTGGGAGGAGTCTTGTGTTGAGATGTGTCCGGGATCTGTGTTCAGTGTTTCAGAAGAAGCAGTGGGAAGTGTTTAGTGGAGAAACAACTGGAATTACTTATGCATCTTTTGTGATGTTTTTCAGAATAATGTGGCCAAGTATTGTCCCTTCCATTAAGCGTTTTATTCAGAGGTAACAATATAAAGGTTCTTCACAGTAACTGGAAATGACAGCTTTAAGAGTTGAATAATTATTCAATTATCTTCAATTGAAGATTTAGACAGAATATTGCTCAAAAAAGATATTTAGCATTCAGATACTCTTCTGCTAATTTTTCATGATATACAATTTATTACCACCTTAGAGAAAAAGCTGGTATGGAGAGCTGAACAAATCAATATTAGAGAGCATCTTAATAAAGGTAACTTGAGCCCGACTCCTAAATAGGAAGTTCCTGCAATTAAAAGCCTGTGATAATTGTGATGGAGAATAGGGGAACAGGAAACCTTTAAGTGAACTGTGCAAGACAAAATAACACTAGACAGACTAAAATTATATCAAGTGGGATGCGCAAATCTAAATAAACAACAATAATGACAAAACAAGCAACATATCTGGATGACTTAGTGTGTCTTGAGGCAGTCCACATTAACAAATCCAGGAATATCAACGAACAAGTCAGATACATGTAGGGGAGATATTCCTGTTCTTGAGTTTAAGAATGAACACCCAAATCTCAAGAGATCTTTATTTAAAAAGTGTTTCCTATATAATCTGGACTGTAACTAAAAATGCTCAAATCTTCCAAGGTGTAGATAAAAGACATGGCAGGGCATTGTAATGGAATAAATTACAAGTTTTTACATTGCAAATAAATTATATTGTAGAATCTTTAAGAGATTCATCTACATAGAATAATACATAGCATAAAATATAAAATCTAAAAAACCATAACATTGTCATGGAATGAACTGCTGGTTGGGAAAGTTTAAAGCTGCAAACATTTAAACACTCTATTCGTGTACATCTGTCAAATGCTACAGGAAAAGCAATAAACTAGAGGTGATGCATTCCATACCTCCTGGCGTTAATGCAGTCAAATGCATGGCGTACTTGCCTGTGTGACATACTGAGCTGGTAAGACAGCATAGCCCACGTTGCCTGTGCCCGGGGCTGGTGCCAGGACAGTTCCTGGGGGCAGGCTAGTTAGATTGGGCTGAATCTGAGGTAAGGGAGTTGCTGGCATGATGAGCCTTTGCTGTGCCTGGCTGGTTGTAACAATCTGCGAGGTGGCGTTCAGAGGCTTAGGGACTACCTGCACCGGTGGGAAAAAAAGTGAAACCGCACATTTGAGCACAATTCCAAACTGAGGCTTATTTTGACTGAAAATGAGCTTGAAGCACAAACAACTGGGAGACAATCATGATTCCCAAGGGAATACAGTTTTACATAGAAAACGGTCTCTGAACACGCTCCGATTCAAACTGCAGAGCCCCTTAAAGAGGTTTCCTTACTTTATTCCATTAATTAAGGAGTACGTATCCTAATTCCCAATAAGTGGGTCATCTGTAAATCACACTGCACTTACATGTTTACACTCCAAAGGTTCATAAACATCACAAATCAAAACGCACATCTTCCTCACACTATGATCCAGTCTTGGGTTAACCACCTGTTAAGATGCCCAGGGGTTTGAAAAACCGCACATCTCACCTGTTTCACGGTCTGCGCAGGAACAATGGGAACCGACATTCGGACTGGCGTGGTATTCACCATCACTGGTTTGGCTGTGGGAATCATATTGCATGTGCCCGTCATTTCAATAGCTGATTAAAGAATATCTGTTATGTCTTTATGGACGTTCTGCGTGATTATTTTAGAACAGGAGTCCTGAAAATTCACAGACAAGTAAAATAAGACTAAAGAACCCAGTCCGATTCAAAGACTTAAACCCTGATGATGTGATACATCTGCCACTTTACACAACTTTTGCCCTTGACAGTTGTACAATTAGAAATGATTCCCTTTCTACATAAAGGGAAAATGCAAAGGACATAAAAAAATGCCTTCATACATTCAGGCAGCTTTATTCACAGGTTAAACTAGCATCAGCTCAAAGTGTTTTCTTTTGTCAGTGAGGAAATTTAGGAAGGTAGCAATTCCAGGGAAGACGTATAACCAGTAGGATCTAAATAGCTTTGTGGAACAGCTGCTAGCTATTATAAATATACGTCTTGTGCCAAGAACAGCAAGCGGCCTCAGACCAGCAGTTATATATCCCCTGCCAATTAAACAGTGACTGCGGAAACAGCAAATCAGGTTACTTTCATTTGTTTTCCGAAGACTCAAGTGGCTGAGATAATCTGAAAACGTCTAGTCTGAATCTTACGACCTTAGCAGCAAAAGTACTGATCTACTTCTTTTGTGGCAAGTCATTCAATAGGGTTTAATAATGGGTGGGCTAATTATAAACAGCTATTATTCTTTTAGGATCCAGTGAGCCGTTTCAGAAACTGGTATTTCTATACTGTGTAGAAGCATTTCTGATAAAGCAAGATTTCCAGTTGTTAATGGCACAATATATAAACTACAAACGTTTCACTAATGTCTAAAGATCAGTATTTAGCATCTACATTGGGTTTCTCGTATACATAATGATAACACCAAAAAGCAGGAAACTTCTCAAGTTTCGGGTCTTTGTATTCATTACTAGTCAGTTAAAAAGCAAAAGATTCCCTTCCTATTTTTTTTCCCTAATGCAGTGCATAAACTCACAATGTAAACATTATTGCCCATCTGTAGAAAATGGGTAAATCGTTAAATAATAATTCTTAAGAGATGGGTGCTACAATTCAGTGGTAGATGAAGTGGTTCCTTCGAATACGTGAATGTTTTTGGATCCTTTGCAATAAAGAGCAGTATAAAAATGCAATTAATGATTATTAATTACCACTATTGTGGGGCACTGGCTTTGGACATTCTGGTTCAGAAGAGTGCCACCTACTGGTCCACTAAACCTACAGACAGCAGCAGCTTGGTTTTATTTAGAGGTCTCCCATCCCAGCACCGACGAGGCCCAGCCTTACTGAACATCAGGCTAGAAAGGGGCAGCACTGGTGTCAGCATGTCCAAGTATCTGACAGCACAATCTGCTTCTTACGAAAATCTCCTATTGCTGCTTCCTCTGGAGATCTCGAGTAACACCGAGAACAAGGTACACCGTGTACTGAAAGTGCAATAAATGAAAATCTTCTATAGAAAGCAAGGGGCTGTAACCCTATGCAGCTCTGCACATGCTTTAGTCAGACTGGTAAAGCTTTTTGCTTTTCTGCCTGTTGCTATAGCGATCCTCTTCCCACCGCCCAGTGTGTGAAGGCCCTGACCTGTCTGCAGCGTGTGGGAGTTGGTGCTGGGGCTGCCGGTCTGCGGAGAGCTGCTGGCCGTGGAGGCGGTGACCAGGCGCACGTAGTGGAACCTGCTGCCCGGCACCTGGATCTGCTGCACGTTGGGCGAGGTGGCCAAGGGGAAGATGGTCTTGAACTGCGGGGTGCCCACTCCTCCTACTGCCACCGTCTGGACCGGCTTCACCGTCTGAACGGGGAGGAAAGGGATCAGCCGACCAATCAAGTCCATCAAGTCAATAAAACTTCTTCAGTTGTTCGGCAAGGGCTGCGAGCGAATTAAAATGGCGCTTAGTGCACCCAGAGAGGATAACCGAATAAAGAATGCGGTTACAAAGAAAAGCTCATCTTTTAACGAAAGATGTTCAGTAACAAAGTTATGTTTAGTCATTTGTTTTTATATTCTAATGTCAATGGCTGCATATCTGTGAATGTGTAAAGAGTGCACAGGAAATTACTTAAAAGCTGTCAATGTATTTTTTTTTCAGTCTAAAAGAAAATTACCTCTCCTTCCAAGACATTACGGGGCTCGCAGTACAGGACAGAAACCCAGCTGACATTTGTGCTCTTGTGAATTGAAACCGGACCCATCCAACTCTGAAAGCTCCCGATTCCTGAAGGCTTGGAGCCACTGACTGTGACCACTTCTAAATAGCCGGAGCCATAAAGGCCAAACCACAGTCACCTCGAAAAGATCAGGGCAACAGCGAAGGGCCAGAGCCAAGCAGGACTTCTCAAGACGACGAGGCTGAAGCCGCAACCTCAGTGCTTTCAAGCAATGGCAGGATCAATTAACTCCGAAATAATAACCACCGGATGGGCTAGGTGGGCCGAGTGGCTGTTCCGATGAGGTTTACCTGTGGAGCAGAGTGATTAGAAACCACTTTGGCTGGCGAGGAGGGGGCAGACTGCTGCACTGCCAGTATGGGCTGGCCCAGGGCCACGTTGATCGGGACGCCCACAGGTTTTTGGGGAGAGCTGGGGGACTGCGAGGCCATGGACACCACCGTTAGCTGCTGACGAGAGGCAGAAGCATTAAAGGATGAGCTGGGGAGCCAGAGTGAAGATACGTTTATCGCTGTAGGCTCTGTTTTTACAGGAATACACATTTGTGCCATATCCAGACAGAAATTAAAATGACTTAAAACACACACATGGGGAAAGTCAGAAGCTTGGCTGCCATGCGTTCCCTTAATGTAAATTATGTTTTAATGACCAAAATGACTCAGATATTAAAAACCCAGTTCCACAGAGCAGCTCCACTGGAGTGATGTGGTATAACCACACACATCTAGATCCCTTGAACGGAAAAGCAGCATAGTTGGGATCTGCCCAAGACCATGAAGGGAAGAAATAAGAGAGCCCAGTCTGACCTTGCTGGGGGACTTAAGGGGAGAGATGGCGATCTTGCTGCTGGAGATACTTTGTGGCGTCGTGTTGAGGGTGGCGCTGACCACGCTGTCCGAGATGGCAATCGTCCTTGGCGGTGTCCCTGGTGGGTTCTGGGAGAGGACCCTTCCTGAACATAAAAGGGGCAAAAATATTTCAAGAAAAGACTCTAATGGTTTTGCCCCCTACAGGGTTGCCTGTGTACGGAGCCTGGATCCCTGCAAGCAACACGATAGGATGCCGGTCTATCACAAGGCAGACCCACAGACAAGCACACACTCGTGCCAGGGCTGATTTTCCCAGCAGCCACCTAATCTAGAAGTATGTCAATGGACTGTGAGAGGAAAAACCCGAGCACCCACAGAAGGCCAACATGAACACAGGAAGAACATACAAACTCCACACAGATAGCACCCCAGGTCTGGAACTGAACTCGGGGCCCCAGCGCTAGCAAGCAGCAATGCTAACCGCTGTGCCACCATGGCGCCCTGAATTATAGTCTTGGCCAGCCTATTTTTATTAAAGGACTGATCAGGATCTTTGTGCCCAGCTCTGTCAGTATGAATCTAACACTTAACTTCAGTTCAACAAGTATAATGAAATACCTGACAATAAATTTCCTTTGGATAAAAAGCCCCAATCAAAACCATACAGTACTACGTTTTTAATTTTGTATCTGTCAAAAATGTTTTTATTTAAGTTTCAATCCAGTCTAAATAAGTTTCCTTTAAATGAAGCTTAATCAATAACTGGCAAACATTTTTTTTATAAAAGAAGGTTAGCAACCAAGAAATTTGTTCAAATGCTCTCCGCTGAATGGACAATCAAAATGAAATAAGAGCATGGTAATTTAGTGGGAAGACACAACAGACTCAGGGAAAAAGATGAAAACATACCTTCATCCAAAACATGCTTTATTGTAGTAAAACACTACAATATTCTGAAAGGCTCCAAGTTACTAGATATATCACAGTAACCAATAACACTGATCATGGAAGAATTTACAGTCCGTTGCAAAATTCAAGGCTTGCAATGTATTCAACCCTTTCCAATGATGTACCATTTTGTTGAATTATAAATGTACACAATGTTTAAATGAATATTTTTAATAAAATCTTGAACGCTCACATTCAGCACCTAATGAGTGAAAAGATGTATGTCAGCAAAAACCGTAAAATAAAATCCAAAACTAAATTATGTACTCGCATAAGTATTCACCTCTCCGATTCAATCTACTTGGTAGATGCAGTTTTGGGAGCAATTATAGCTGAAAGCCTTTTTGGATAAGTCTCCTATCAACCTTGCACACCAGGATGGTGTAATTTTACAAATTTGCTCAAGCTCTATCATGTTGGCAGGGGGGATAGATTATGGACAGAAGGTTTCAAGTCTTTACACAGAACCTCAATTGGGTTCAAGGCAGGACTTAGACACGCCCTCTGAAGGTCATTCCCAAAAAGTTCTGGTCCTGTGCTTTAACTCACTGCCCTGCTAAAAAGTAAAATTTCAGCTCAGTTTTACATTCTTAGCAGACAATAATAATAATAATAAAAATAATAATAATTGCTTACACTTATATAGCACTTTTCTGGACACTCCACTCAAAGCGCTTTACAGGTAATGGGGACTCCCCTCAACCACCACCAATGTGCAGCACCACCTGGATGATGCGATGGCAGCCATAGTGCGCCAGAACGCTCACCACACATCAGCTATCAGTGGGGAGGAGAGCAGAGTAATGAAGCCAATTCATAGATGGGGATTATTAGGAGGCCATGATTGGTAAGGGGCAAAAAAGGCGTTTTTTCCCCTAACATTTGCCTGTACTTTACGCCATCAAATTTTGCCAGTCTCTCCTGCTGAGAAATGACATTATATTGCCACCTCCATGCTTGGCAGTGGGGATCATGAGGATTGGGTGATGTGTCGTGCCAAATGTACCACTTCGCATTTAGTCCAAAAGGTTCCAAGCTTGTTGTGGGACCTTATAAAGGTTTGCTACATGTTTGTAGACTCACTTCAATGCTTTACTGCAAACTCCATGCAAGATTTTAGATGGGTTGTCATCAATAATGGCTTACTTCTAGCCAAAGTGTTCAGTTTGATCTTTCAGGTTATCCACAAAAATACTCACTTTAAAAATGTGTATATATCATTTGTAATTGGGGGCACAATGGCGATGCAGTGGTTAACACTGCTGCCTCACAGTGCTGGGGCCCTGGGTTCGGTTCCGGACCCAGTGCTGGGGCCCTGGGTTCGGTTCCGGACCTGGGATGCATATGTGTGAAGTTTGTATGTTCTTCCCATGTTGGCGTCCGGTTTTCTCCCGCAGTCCAAAGACATACTGGTAGGTTAATTGGCTTCTGGGAAAACTGACCCTGGTGTAAGAATGTGCTTGTCTGTGTCTGCCCTGAGACAGACCGGGATCCCTTCCAAGGGTGTACCCTGCCTTGTGACAGTTGCTTGCCGAGAAGCAGCCGGAAAATGAATGGGTGGGACATAACTGGTTGAACACTCTTGCAAAGTAATGTAGTCAAGTCTACTACACCAGACAGATAAGACAATGTTTTGTAATGGATATTACCCATCATTTCCACACTTGCTCAGTGAAATCGCAGCAACATGCGCTACTGCAAGTAATTACATGCGAGACAGCTAGGTGTATATGCAAGGATGCGTTTAAGATTTATGAACAAAAACAAATGGATGACATTTCATTTGGAAAAAGTGCGGAGAGAGCTGAAAAATCAAATTATTTTTAAGAACTACCCCTTGAAAAGGACTTCTGATAGTACCATACATGTTGAAAACTAGATTTACTCAAGTAACAGTGATCTTGGGTTAATGCCATCTAGAAGACTATATGATTTCAGTTGTTTCTGCCTCTTTAAGATGGAAACTACAAACATAGGTCTGCAAAGATTACCTGCAATCACTGGGGAGACAGACGTCTGGCCTGAGACACCCTTGCTGTTCACTGGCTTTGTGATGATGAACTTTGTGATCATTGGTCCTGTTGAAGACGTCTGAGTTTTCTTAGCAATCTGAAAGTTTAGGAATCAATTCAAGTATTTGCAATTTTGAAATTTTGCAACAGATGACTCCAAACGGATCTATGGATCTTGCTTTAGATCTCCAAAATACAGGTTTAATGTTCATTGATGTCAAAATTACAGAATTAATTAAATTCAGCTTAATGTATCATGAGTACAACTTCATATAAAAAACCCTAATTAGGTTCTTTGTGCATACGATTTCAATTAATAAGGTTTTAAAACCTGTGAATTTAAACTGTTCTTATCGTTGCTCTCCACGTGAACCAGGTGTCCTTGTGCTGCAGAGCTTTTATTGGTACCGAGAGCTAGACAGAGTGCCCAAAATTACAGAACTGAAACGGAATTTGATTTAAGGGACAGTTAGGGATTCTAGGCAGGTTTTGAATGAACTTTTTAAGAACTCTCTTAATCTGGTAGCTAAAGGAGCTAAAAGGTGGGAAATTGTTCTCTTACTTCAAGTCTTACATTTCAACCTTTTTGCTTTTTAAATGTTAATTTGTGTGAACATATTTTTATGTATTTGGCTGATGTGTTTATCCAAATAAATTTACATTTGTACCCATTTATAATTGACAGCAGAGCCTCACCTGGGATTTGGACCCTTAACCTTCCAGAGCCCTAACCCCTACTCCACACTGCCATTTATATATTTGTCTGGACTGAACTTTCCTATTAAAGACCGATACAAACGTCCGGTCATGCTCGGGGAAAAAGGACAGATGGGACTGAGAACTACTAACCAAAAAGCCCTGGAGTGAAATAATCTAGAAAAAAATGGATAGTGCAGAGACGAGATTGGGATTGATTGATATTTCTTTGGGTTTTCCACTCCATTCAGTCTATGACACAGGACATACAAATTACCTAGGTTCATAAAACGCAATTTAATTAATAATGTATATCTATAAGATAGCCCATTGGGGTCTATTCTGAGTTGGGTTTATGACATTACCCATTAACCTCCCTCTCTGGGGAAGGAAAAAGCAAAAGCAGACAAGAACTTTCACTAAATGCTTTCGATTTAGCTCTCCTGGGCTTCATGTCTCTGTTGTATGGCTTACACATTTGTTTGGGTGCGTTAGATTAGGCTGTCACTGGGGATATGTTTGCCTTAAATGGCTGACTGTCACCAATAATTAATATTCATTTAGCAGGTGGAAATGACTCAGTCGACATTATAGATAATGACGTGATGAGGAACAAATGCAAAATTTGTCTGATTACACAATCGGAAGACATGGACAGAGCTGAGAACCTCCTGACAGCACATACACTGACGTATCTTGGGCCCACTGAATGCCGCTGCAAACGAACAGCACTTTTATGTATAGCCGTGGACACAGAACCTTCTAGACATTTACAGTAGACTCACTCAAAGACATACTCACCTGCACCGTTTTTAGCTGCTGGGCCTGCAGGGGTGAATGCTGGGAAGTTCCAAGGAGCTGGCTGGCTGAACTCATGGCCTGTACCCCCACCACGGGTTTCAGATCAGTCCTGCTTCCAATGGTCACCACCTTAAACTGCTGGGACTGGGCCTTAACCTCTCCGCCAGTCTGGGCTTGGCCTGGTTTTGGACTCGTGTGGGGCAGCGCCAGCACAATGGGCTGCCCGGCTTTCCCGATGGTAGTGACGACAAGCTTCTGGCCCTCCTGCTTGATGACCTGCGTCGTGGCCGGCTTGACCTCGGCAGAAGAGGCAGCCACCTTGTTGAGGATGATCTGGTGGTTGGGGGACAGGGTGAAGGGGGCGGTGAGTTTCTGCAGGCCCGTGCTCAGCGCGGGGCTGGCAGGCTTGGCGCCAGCGAGCTTCGCGGTGGCGGACTTGACAGCTGGCGAGCTGGAGGTGGCAAGGAGCAGCTGGCTGCCAGAGTTGGTGCTGGACAGGGCTGGATCAGAGGGGGCCGAGGAGCCCAGAGGCTGGACTTTCTGTGGCAGGGTGGTGCTGAGGGTAGCAATCTCACTCTCTGACAGTTCAGTTTCCATGGGCAGCGGCGCCTCCTGTTGTCCCTCCTCAGGCTCCAACTCCTCAACAGGCACCGCAGTCTCTCCTGGGAGGTCCTCTACCACCACGATAGCCTCAGTGTCCATGATCTCCTCGGGGAGCAAGCTGTTCAGCTCGGGTGACACCACCTCCATCTTCACTCGCTGCAGCCAGGCTCAGCCACTGCCAAAACAACACACCAGCAGAGCTGTCAATGGCTTGTCTTGCCCGAACATGGCGAGACTGTGTAATTAAGGGAAGAAGTGACCTATAGAGAAATAGAGCATTATTTCAGTTTCATTTGCAGATGAGACAAAAACAGACTGAGGGGGCCCCAAGAGAAATAGTGGCAAGCGATTTACAAGTTTAGTGAGGATATGTGGCAAATTCAAATCAATTACAAAGTGATCCACATGCACAGCAGGAACATACTTTATGACTTCTCCTGGTATAAAATCAAGCCATTTTCCAATATTGTGAGCCATTATTCAAAAAAAAAAGCATGTTGTTCACATTTGTACATTTATTAAGCATAATTAAGTAGTTTGAAACATTGTCTATCAGACTTTTATAGATCAGCTTAATGTAAGGGGCTACAGCTCTTCTCATGTTGAGCCACTTTCAATACTCTTATTCTGAAGCCCGTTTGTGGAGACATTTAATTGGACCTAGGCCAATTAAATCATGAGCCCATTTAAGCAACCTGAAAGGGATCTCTCTAACTTTACAAGCTAAAGCGTTTTTAAAAAAATCACTCAAAAATCGGCAACTGGACAAACTTGAAGTTTAAAGCCCCTAAATAAATAGAAATACTGAAGTGGTGGTAATTGTGTAACAACTACCTGTTAACAGATCTACCTGTGATTCCCAGGGCTACCAACATGCTAAATACCAGATTTACATCCTCATACTGCGACATTTCAAACAAAGCTTCCTCTTCCACCTGCAAACAGTGTAGCTCAAGACATCTTCATCACTGAACTTAAAGATGAAGACCTTAAAAACCTTAACGATGTGGATTTTATAATTTACTCTTAACTGTATGACTATGCTACATTGACATATTGCTTAGAATTAAAATAAGAACTTCTGGAATTGTGCTTAAAATAGTTTCATTCCTAAATCTCATGTTTCACACAAAAAGCTGAAAACAAGATGTTAAGACTACACAAGAAAACGGATACTATAAGTTTTTAAGTAAACATTTCTTAAATGTAAAAAACTCATTAGAAAATAAGTCATTTTTATACAGCACCTTTTCCTACAAGTTAAAGCTCTCCAAGAGCTTGACAGTGGTAGTAACACATCAGCAATATACAGTATAGATGGAAATAACATGCTGAGACACAAAAAAACAGCATTTCTGCATTTATATGTTTGGAAAAGGCTAGCCTGATGAAATAGGTTTTTCTGAAGCTTTTGGAGAGACAAGGAGGCTTATGATGTCTTGAATTCAAGAATTTTGTGGCATATACGCGTCTCGTCTGGACTGGCAGAATGGAGTGTCACCCCCCCCACTGCCCAAAGATGTATTTAAGAGGTCTAAATGAACCTTGAAAAGATGAAAATACACACTGAATTGTTTGGGAAATGAAAAATAGAAGGCCTAATTAAAAACCGTCACTATGAAATCACTAAAAGGTTTTACATTTTTAATTTGCTAATATGCCATTGAATCATACTCGACCTTTCACGGTGGATTTTCAAATTGAAGTAGGCTGAATAGTCAGAGCACTTTCTTCTTCTAAGTTTATTTTCACTGTGGAACTAACCTCTGCTTAGATTTGTCCCTTCTATAACTTCTGGTAGAAAAAAAGGTATGTGACTTCTTGGAGTGGTATATTAGGCATATCCTAATATATAATGATGGTGTAATGGTATAGACTTAAACCACCCAACAGTAATATGACTATGTTACTTATTTCTCTTCAGATGAATGACATTTCAGGAAGAAGGCCGTGAATGTGGTTGTCTTCTTAATGTCAACATAACTGAATTATTCTGAACCCAAAAGCACGAGCTGAAGCATCACACAATGGGAGGGTGGCACAGCAAAGTACACAAAGCACAAAGACCTCCCATAAAACGTGTCCTTTGATTAGAAATGTACTGTAGGATATCCCACACATTTTCTTCATGCTTTATCCCGGCAAGGATCACCCTGGGCAGAAGCAGGTGCCCCAGGGCCAATTTAAGCCAATTTACTGTCGGTATGTCTTTGGACTGTAGGGGGAAACACCCAGAGGGAACCTACTAGAACTTGGGGGGAATATACAAACTCCACACAGATAGGACACTAGGTCCAGTGTTGAACCCAGGGTTCCACTGCTGTTAGGCAGCAATGCTAACCACTGCGCCACTGTACCAACTGTAGGATATTGTTCCTCTTAAATGACATTAACAGCAACTCTCAAGGCAGCTAATCATCAGCCTTGCAGGATGGTACTTTCAGAATGCTCAATACAATATTGATCACCATGTACTGCCCAGAAGTCTCCAAAACTGGTCCTGGAGAGCCCATATTCGGGTTGTTTTACCACCATTGGTGGTGGTGGAGGGGAGTCCCCATTACCTGTAAAGCGCTTTGAGTGGAGTTTCCAGAAAAAGCGCTATATAAGTGTAAGCAATTATTATTATTATTATTATTATTGTTTTAGAGGTCAACATTTGTTTTTAAAGACTGCCAACAGGCAGAAACTTTTGTTGGGTTAAGCCAGCAACCTACTTAATTCAGAGCATCCTTTACAGTGAAACTGTTCCCCATCTTAAGAAATTGGAGACTTGGTGATTTAATATTGACCTGCAAACCTTACTGCACCATGGCTCTCCAGAAACAAGGTTAAAGATCCCTGGGATAGCCAATGAATGCTGGCACTTACTTTTAAACAGACACCTGCTGTTGTACGTGACGCTACAGAAACAGCTGAAAGGCAGCATAACATCACAAAGAATTGCCACTGGACCATACATAGGATGCAGACTCTTAAACTCCCACTCATGACAATAACATGGCTGAACCCAGACTATAAAACCCTTTGTAGCACTGTTATAAATCAAGGAACTGTGGGAGACACTCCTTGCTTGTGTGCGTCTCCTTCAGGTGTTCTCCGGAAGTGGCAACCCTCATTAAAACTCATCTCAAACCTTCAATTGAGAGTGCTGTGACTCCTTACATCCCTACAGTTCAAAACGCCCATTTCTTTCAAAACACAATATTCCGTAGCTGGCACTGAAATGAAAAGAGGCACCTTCTAGAACTTCACAATATGCCCTCTGCGAGCAGTAAGTCCAGAGTGTTTCGTCATCAAAGCCAACACATGACAGCACAGGATTTCTATATCCCTTTTTACAAAGAGTGCTAAGAAACCACATTACAGATGGTCATAGTAGGGCAAGGCCCCGTGTGTTAAAACCAGGAGTAAGAGTATCTTTCCTCCGATTCCCAAATCTAATGTTAACATTGGGTTCTAGGACAGATTTATTTTTTCTCAGAAAAAACACACTACATATAAAAATCCAAAGACGTACTCGAAGGTTAATTGGCCTCTGGGAAAATTGGCCCAGGTGTGAGTGTGTGTCTGTGTCTGCCCTGAGATGGACTGGTGTCCCAGCCAGGGTGTATCCTGCTCTGCGCCCTCTTGCTTGCTGGGATAGGCTCTGGCTCCCCTACAGTCCCGAACCTAATGAAGAGGTTATAAAATGGATGGAAGGATTGATAAAAACAAGAAAATACAAACAAGGTGTATACAGCACGGTTCTGCAAGTTTAGTCTCCTTCTGTCCTCCCTCTGACTGTCATCCACACAAGATCAACACTCTCCTGCACAAATACAGGGCTAGGAAACAAAATAACATGTTACTAATCTCAGTCCCACTTTCGAGCTTTCTAAGAAATATCCCCTTTTCCTCTTTTATAATTAAACTAAATGAAATAGCGTACTTTTAAAAAAAAACACACAGTATAAACATCACATATCCTAGACCTACGCCGACAGGATTTGTTTTGCTTTCCTGGAACACTGTTCCTAAAATTAAGTGAACTAAGCTGAATGACTATCAGCCCACGGTGTAAAACGAAATCCTCTCATAGCGCAGTCACTGGCCACGTGAGTCTGCATTCAACGTCTGATGGTGTCACCTGATAATGTTTTACCAGAAACGTGCAACACCGAATTCAAAAACTGCAAATGGGATTCAGCAGTCATAGTCGAGAACAGTTTCGGTATTTCCCATGAATACAAACAGGAAATAATGGTTGTTTGTAATTTTATTGTATTTCCCACTCTTTTAAGAATACTAATCAGCATGTGTCACTCTTGGTTTAACTGTTCCTGGATAAGATCTTCGTTACATTTAATATAGTTAAACCCTGGCAACGTTTAAAAAAGCATTCCGCTCATATTCTTTCTACTTCATCACACCAGCTCCTGTACTAAAACAATGTGATACTATCTCATGTACTTGTTTGAGCCCTGTCTACATTTTGAGCCTTGTTTTACTTTAGCGATTACAGGAGCTTTTTTTTCCATATTAGTCGTGATATCCTTCTCGTGCGCAGAAACCATCCCGATCAGCTAAAGTCATGTCAAAGCCCCTCTGCTAATGATCCACCTAGCAGACTCTAAAAGCTTCTTTTGGCGAGAGCCATCTAGAGAAGTCCATATTTAGACGAGCGGAAGAAGATCTCGATTAAGAGATATGCTGCGAAACACAGAGGAAATGGCTTGGAATCTGGATACCAAATGCAACACGTGAAGACAGCTCTCCTATAAGAAGTACATCTTCAAGCTGGCTGCTGCTGGTACCAAAATTCCAGATGTCCCCTAGGTAGTCATTGTGCTCTTATTGCACAGTGAACAGACTCTCACTACCAATATAAAAGAAAATAAAAAACAATATATAAAAAGAACAATGTTCATTCTTATTATCACACAAAGAGTAACACACATCTTCTTGAGGGCCCGATTGAGTTCACAATCATTGTCAATCTGACAGGTAATTTGTCCAATTCACACACTGACAGGTGCTACTACTAAAAATACAATTTTCCAATGGACAGTACTGAACAAAATGGCAAAATTCAAGGCCTAAGCACTTTACTGAAGGCCTAAGGAGCTGGTGCCTGACTGTGGTTCGCACAGGAAGAGCAATCTGACTGAATAAAGCAGATTAGTACTGACCCAA